TGCTGTAATTTATCCAGAACAGGGTTTGGAATATCTGGCAACAGTTCACGTCTAGGAAATCGTCTCTCCTCCCCAACAAAATGAAAGGCGTCTATTGCAAAGTTAAAGACAATTGAGCAGCTGAGATAGTTCGTATCAACAGAATAGTGAAAGACTGCATTTTGCAATGACATATTACTGACATTAGTCCCCTGGAAAGAGAAAAATGCTTCTCTCTTCATTTCCTTATTTATATGAGCAGAAATCAAGTTTTTGCAAGGTTCGTTTTCTTAATTGCCGAGTCCAGCCGGGCCAGGGCCAGGGATGCCCATAGTGGCTGAGTTTTCTTAATTGCTGAGTCCCAGCCGGGCCAGGTGTGGGCCAGGGTGGGCATCCAGAGCAGCCCGGTCCATCTGAGGGCCAGTGGGTGCTGGGCAAACCCCAGGGGTGTATCTCTGCAGGTAGGGGCCTCAAGGTCTGGGCAGTGGACAAGGCTGTGGGGGCAGGGTTGCACGTGCCACTGGGGAACCCAGGGGCCTGGACCCACAGGCGGGTGCCCCCTTCACACACAGTGGTGCCTAGCTCCACGGCGCAGCCACTGCGTCACACCCAAGGCAGGGAGAGTCCTGCAAACGGATGTGGCCCTGTTCTTGCAGTCCAGAGATGGAGGGTGAGCTGGGGCCCTGCTGCTCCCGCCCCGGGTTGTTGGCACCGGGCCCTAGGAACACGCTGAAACCACCACCGTGCTGTGAAACGCACGCACGCACGCGGCCCCTGCTCTGCCTTCACCCGAGCCTCACTGGGGTGGAGCTCCTCTCCCGGGGGCCGGTGCCCTTTCCCGTCTCCTCCCCAGGCGCCCGAACTCCTGGCCACAGAGAACAGAAACCCCACCTCCCCGAGTGAGTGCATCCAGGGTTGTGGAGAAGAGCTGGCGGGTCACTCGTCCTCCAGGGCACATGTGGCAGGTGGGGCCAGGGAGCAGCTTGTCCCCACCGAGGCCCACTGCACCCACCTGGCACCGGCCCCACCTGGCCAAGGCCAGGCTGGCCTCAGGCGCTGCGTGAGCTCCATGCCAGGCCCCTAGTGCCTGCGTTCCTGGAGCCGTGCCCTGGATGATCACACACAGCCGCCTCCCACACGCCCGGCTCCGACAGAGCAAGCAGCCTGCTCACCAGCAGCCCGGGCTCTGACTGCTGAACCCGCAGCCCACAGCTGGCCTTACAGTCCTGTGGCCAGTACCGCAGGGCACGGTGCGGGTCACGGTCGGGGCAGCCTCAGTTACAGATTCTCCTGGGGCTCATCTTGCAGAGGCGGCTGGACACTGCCACATTCTCCTGTGCATCTAGCAGTGCCCAGGAGGCATAAGTCCATGACTGGACGTCTATTCGGCAAAGGGCCTTCCTTCCCTTCTTCTCTGATAACAGAGCCTCATCTTTCTTGGCACATTGTATTTCTTCATGTGGCCTGGTGTGGTTGTGGCCATGTAACCAAGTTCTGCAACTTATGCTTCTCCCTTCCTGCCAGCTGGAACAGAGCCTCCTGGCTGGAGCTTGTGCAGCCACTTAGGGCCATGAGGTGGTACATAAAGATGACAGCAGCAGAACAGGAAACACAAACTGGAGTCCCCTGTGTTGGGGAGGGACCTCACTCTCCCTCTGGTCACCACTGTGCTGCAAGCACACAGCCTGCCCATACTGAAGACAAATTTAGCAAGGGTTCATGCCCCCCCATTCCACCTCCAGATCAGCTGCAGGGAGAGGTGGCCAGTGGGTACAAACACCCTGAGGCCTGGCCATGCTGCGGCCGCTGAGCTGGTGCCTGATGAGGTCACAGAAGGACCCGGGCCTTCCGCACCTGCCCTCGATCCCTGCGGGAGAGCCATCTAGGTGGTTCCACAGGCTGGCCCTGGTGGGGTCTGCCAGCCCCCTGGGTTTCAGCCTTGCACGATCCCCGTGACCTGAGCTGCTGGGGCTTTCGTCCCTGCCCTGCTCTTGAGCTCTGGCTGATGGCAGTGGCTGAGCGGCCACCTCCCAAGACATCCAAGCACACGGGGCAAGAGCCTGCTCGTCCGGAGCCCAAGGGCACCTGGCCTTCACCCCAGGAGGCACAGAGGCTGGCCGGACTCGCCAGGCAGAACCACAGACGTAGGACTCCCAGGTTGTTGGCAAAGGTGCGGCCAGGAGGAGGGTGCCACCACAGGGACCCCACACCCCAGTGTGGGGTGGGGCTCCGGGCGGGTTCTCCCTTGGACAGAGGTGAGTCTGCAAGGGACGATTGCTGGCTTCTCTCCCCGCACGGGAGTCTTTGCTTTCTTTCAGGTAGTGGACACACACCTGCTCCAGTGACCCCTTCTGGCTGGTTGCAAGGTCTTGCCTGGTCCTGGAGTCTCTGTAGGGTGGGGCTCAGACCTCCTGGAACGGGGCTCCCGGCCCCCACACTAGCTGGAGCCCTGCCGACTCACACCTGCTTCCCGCTGGCCAAGGAAGGGTCCAGCGTTGGGGAGACAGAGCTGGGTGCGCAGCAGAGGGCTCCTGCCCTGGGCTGTCACAGCAGGCTTCCTGGCGCAGGGCCGCCAACCTCTCTTCTGCTGGAGCCGTGCCAGCTCCAGGCTCCCTCTTGCCCACGGTGGGCACTGTCCTCGGCAGGACGGACTGAGCTTGGCCGGGCCTTCACCCTCTTTTTGCAGGATGCCTGAGGAGGAGGCCCACCTGCTCCAGGGTGGGTGGGGTGCGGGAGCTGGAGTGGCTGGCGAACCTTGGCCAGCACCCTGCCCGGTGGACAGCGGGCTGCAGAGCGCCCCAGGGGTCCTCGGCAGCGGGTGTGGGACCTTCAGTAGGACTTTCAGTGGGAGAAAGAAATCGGAGAGGCTTGTTTTGAATGCTCCCTGGAGAGGAGGGTGAACAGTTCCCCTGGGTTGAGTCTGTCCTCTGTGGGGTCACGTAAAGGGAGACAAACACAGCGGGCGGGGACGCCTGGTTCTGCCGCGTCCATCCAGCCTGGGCCGCGCGGCTCCCTGCGGCGGACCTGTCTGCACAGGTGTGCTCGGGCTCCGTCCAGGGCCCCGGGGCTGGCTGGTGAGTCAGTTGCCATGGTGACCAGCCCTCCTGGGGTCTGGTGGGAGGCTGAGGGATGGGCTCCGTGGTGCACAGCTTCCTGTGGGTTCAGGACCGCCTGCCCCTTCCGGATCCTCCACCCCAGGGCCACCACCAAGAGATGGAGCAAGCGAAGATGCCCACCCAACAGGCCGTGGAGGCCGGGGTAGGACAGTGGTCCTGCTGTGTGGGGGCGACCAGCCCTTTTCCTGGAAAGAAAAGTGGAAACAGGCAGAGAGCCCCTCCCGCCCCGGGCCCCTCCTAGGCAAGGTGGGGACCAGCAAGTGTGCCCGCAGACAGCCTGGGCGGAGTGTGCCTCTGCTCCTGCCACAAGGGGCTGTGACCCTCATTTGACAGAAGAGGAAACCGAGGACGGAGGCTCAGCTGGAGGTCATGGGGGGCTCAGTTCTGGATGTGCCGCGTGGGGGCTGAGCAGAGCCACCCCAGGAAGCCGAGAGAAGGGTGTCCAGGTCCCCAGCTCCCCTCCAGCCTGCAGCTGACACCCACGCACACCCCGGTGTCCTGGGAAGCCTGAGTCTCCCCGAGAGTGAGCCACTGCTCCGGACCACGCCTGGGGTGGCCCGTGGGGAGGGCCCAAGGTCACACACATAGAAGAACGATGACCAACCGCTGAGCCTCCCTGTGGAGCGGCCACAGAGGGGCCCGCTGAGCCATGGCTGTGTTCCGGGGCCTGGATTCCATCGCGCCCTTGGAACTGGGTGCTGAGTCTCTCGGAGCGGAAGGCGTGGCGCCCAGGGAGCATCTCTACACTGAACTGTGAGAGCAATTCTGCCGGAGCTGAGAGATGGCTTCCATAACTGAGGAGGAGGCCGACAGGGGGACACGGGCCAGGTCCCGCCTGTCCTCAGAACCCGCAGCCCTGCCACGGCCAACCAACTTGCCTTCCGCAGATGCTGGGGCCCAGCTGTCCCTGCGGCCTGCAGCCCCCATGAAGATCGAGCCCGAGGCCGGCCTCCCTCCTCATGCTCTTGGATGGAAAGCAGTCCAGCCACCCGGCAAGGACAGATCACCCGCCCACAGGGCCTCAGAGGCCGCAGGTGTCCGGAGGCTCAGGTGCCCCTCCTGGGCAGCAGCAGAGCCAGGGACAAGCCTCTGCCCACCGCTAGGGAGAGAGCACCCTGGCAGGAGGGTCTGCCTGCAGAGCTGGGGCCACAGGCTGTACACGGGTTGGGCAGGGGTGGGGACCTGGGTCTCGGGAGGGGCTGGGCCACCTGGGGAAAGGAGGAGCCTGCCAGGGAGAGGCCCGCCTCGTCCATGTCTGCTGGAGGGTCCCGGGCACAGCGGCAGCGGGCAGCAGGGGGCAGCGCTCCCCACCCGGCTGTTCGCCCCTGGAAGGGGTCTGCTTGTCTCCTGCTGTTACAGATGACATGTGAGGTGTCCCCCAAAGCTCCTGTGTGACACAGTGCAAGGTTCAGAGGTGAAGTGACTGGGTCTTGAGAGCCTTCACTCAGTCAGCAGATTGATCCACACAAGGGATCAGCTGGGAGACGCCTGGAGGTGGGGCGGCTGGAGGAGGCCGGCACAGGGGCGTGCCACGGGGTTGATACTGTCCCTGGTGAGCAGAGCTCTGGCTCCTCCTGATGCCCTGTCCTGAGCTGCCTTCCTCCTCCACGCCCTCCCCCGTGGCCTTTGGCCTCCCCTCGGCCCAGAGCATGGAGAGGCCTCCTGTGGATTCAGACCTCGCAAACCCTGAGCCCCACACAAACTCCCCATCCTCCAAAACCGCTCTTGGTCACAGCAGTGAAAACTCTGAGGCCAGCTCAGGCCGGAGCCCTGGTCCCCCAGACCCTCTGTGCCCCAGTCCCTGGGGGGCTTTTCTCGCCTGCCCCGATTCCGGGCACCTGACTGGCCACATGCCCCTCACTGCTGGCAGCGCCAGGCCAATCAGTTGCTCTGTTGACCACTCACCAGCCAGGCCACTGGGGGTGTCCCCTTGGTCTCCCTCCGGGAGTGGTAAGTCATCTCCGGCACTTTCCTGGGCAGCCTTGGGCTCCAGGCCCCGCAAGGTGGGGGTGGACAAGGGATAGGAGATGCACTGGAACCCACTGGGAAGGGAACACCAAGGTCAGGCCTGAGGGTCAGGGCCAGAGGCCAGTATAGGGGAGGCCTGTGGCCTGGCCCTACCCTTGGAGTCCAGGAGCACTATCCAGGCACCCTTGGGGGGCTGTGTGGGTCACCCCAAGATGCCTGCTGGGCAGGGACCAACTAAGGCCAGAGAGAAGGGCCAGTCAGTGCCCTGCGGTCCCCTCCCCGAGGCCTGCCAGCCCTCCATGCTATTTAGTTGCCCTTCCTCTTGGCCACTCCCTGTGCCGTTATGTCCACCCTCCCAAGTCTGCTGCAGCACAGGTCACATCCTGCGTTGGTCCTGGCCCATGGGAACATGTGGGTGGCTCCCTCCAGCCCGACTCCTCCCCTGCCTTTCCAGCCCCAGTGAGGCGTCACCTGGTGTCACCGTCACTCACAATGGCGTCTGCATGGGCGTCTCTTGGTGGTCTTCATCCACTTTGAAAAAGCTGACCTCGGAATAGGTTGGGAGCTGCACGTATCTGATGCCGGCGGAGATCCTCAGGACCCGGCCACTCTCACCTTCCAGGAGAGAAGTTGGGGAACAAGGCCCTAGACGGCAGCCCCGTAGGAACGTGGACAAGGGCTCAGCCGGACCCCACCCCGGGCCTGTCACACCCCATTTTCAACTCAGCATGACCACATTCAGCTTGGGTGGCCTCCCCTGGGTCTGTCCTGCAGCGGTCTCCCGGCCCTGGGATCTCCGGGGCCTCCTCATGCACCCCAGTATCTCTGCCTTAACCCTCAGCACCCAGCTGCTCTCCTTCCCCGCACTCCTCTCTGTTGGGTCTTCCAGCTCTGTCACCTGCCCCAGGAGGCCTGGAGAATGCTGGGGGACACTGCCGTCTGCAGATGGAACCCTGGGCCCCAAATCTCCAGCTCAGTCTTCAGCGTACTGACCGCCCACACGCCCTGGGAGGGCCTGTCTCTGCTAAGTGGCTCGTGGGTTCACCATGTTGCACCGCTGCCCTCGGCTGGTCAGCACCACAGTGAGTGCCTGTGGTGGACCTGTTTCCCCTGCAGTCCTGGGTGGACACTGCTGCTCTTGTCCATGGCTCCTGGCCCCGGGAAACCTCAGGCTGCAGGGAGCGCCTGAGGACAGGGCTGGAGAACCCGACAGCCCCACTTGGAGGACCCGAGAGAAGCACGTGCTGGGAGCGCAGGCGGGAAGGGTGACCAGTCCTGTGTCCCAGGGCTGCTGCCGAGCTCTGGGGCCGGCTTCCAGACCACAAAGGACCTGGGGAGCAACCAGGTTCCCGAAGCCTTAGAAGAAACTCAAGACGAAGTGGCAGACCCGGGGGGCTCCCCCTTGGGGTGGCAGGGAGAGGGTCACCTCACACCCCAGAAGCTGCCCTGAAAATGCTGTCAGTTGAGGAAAACAAGCTGAGAATCTGGGGGACAAGGCATGGAGTCAAGGACACGGCATCAGCGAGGAGACAGCACAGGTCAGCACACACACTGAGAGACTTGTCAGGCCAAGGAAAGGGCCACCTGGAGGAAGAAGAGCGACAGGGCCTGGGCTCCCCGATCAGAGGGGTCGTTCCCCCAAGCCCTGCTGGAAGTCACGGGGGACTGGGCACAGTCCAGTGCAGTCCTCAGAGGGCCCTGTAGGGGATAACTGGTCTTAGATGGAGCTCTCCTCCAGACCTGCCTAACAGTCAGAAAAGCCCCAAAGCATCCAACTGTCCAGTAGCTCACTCTGCCCTGGAACAAGCTCAAGTTCAGTCACAGGAGGGCAGACAGCGGGCTCCAAGAAGGCAGAGTTTACCATGTCTGGCACCCAATCAGAGTCACCAGGTATGCAAAGAATGCAGGAGAAGGTGGCCCATAAGGAGGAGAAAGACAAGTTGGGGGGCTGGGGCTGGGCTCAGTGGTAGCACTCGCCTGGCATGTGCGAGGCGCTGGGTCCGTGCTCGGCACCACGTATAAATAAATAGAATAAAGGCCGATCGACAACTACAGGAAAAAAATTAGAGATCTTAAAAAACAAATAGATAAGTAGGTCGAAGCCGACCTGGAAGTGACCGGTGCCTTGGCAGTCAGGACACCAGGAAGGTGGGCGTTGCGCTGGGCTGCGGGCTCAGCCTGGAGCAGAAGGTGGAGCAAGGGCAGCTGGGCTTCTGGGCTGAGCACGGCGACGCGAGGGGCGAGAAACACGGACTCTCACCAGACGACACCGAGGACAGGTCCCGGGACTCGGAAACAGAGCAAAGGAAACCCCAGAGAAAAGAGAAGAAAGAGAAAGCAAGAAGGGGAGGAAAGGAACGAGAGGAGGGAGGGAGGGACCGCGGACCGCTCGCCCCGGCTGCGCACGAGAGGCTGCCGCAGCAGAACCGCCAGAAGGGATGGCTGGCGGCCGGGAGCTTCCAAATCTGATGAAAACTATAAACTCACAGGTGTGAGGAGCTCAGCAAGACCCCAAGCATAAGAGGCACGAGGAACGATCGCACGCCGCATCATGACCAGACCGCCGCAGAGGCGAGGGCTGCCCGAGTGACTGGCCACGGGGACAGAGACCAGGAGACCTCTCCTGGGGACCGGCCAACTGGGGAGCAGTGGAGCCAGGCCTTCAGCCCACTGGGGGCTTGTGCCCGCCAACGCGACTAGAGATCGGAGGGTGGAATGCAGATGTCCGCAGACACAGAAATGCTGAGAGAATTCACCAGCAGCCACCTCCACCACGAGGGATGACGGAGTGAGTCATCTGGATCGACAGGACGGAGCACGGAGGGCCAGACGTAGGAGTTTGGAGTATAGATGAGATTTTTTTCTCTATTTATGAAATACTATTGAAAAATAGGTGGATGGGTGCTGTGGCACATGCTGGGATCCCAGCAACTTGGGAGGCTGAGGCAGGAGGATTGTTAAGTTCAACACCAGCCTCAGCAACTTAGTGAGGCCCTGAGCAACTTAGGGAGATCTTGTCTCAGAATACAAACTATAAAGAGCTGGGAATGTGGCTCGGTGGCTAGGCCCTCTGGGTTCAATCCCCGCTACACAAAAAAAGATAAGTGGCATTTTCAACAAAAATAACACCAGTGGGGCTGGGGTTGTGGCTCAGTGACAGCTCGCTCATCTGACACGTGTGAAGCACTGGGTTCAAACCTCAGCCCCACATAAAAATAAATAAGTAAATAAAGGTTTTGTGTCCACCTACCATCAAAAAATATTAAAAAATAACACCATTATGTCATGGAGCTTATTATATATGTGGATGTAAAAAGTGTATGAAAATATTAGCATAAAGCTTGGGAGTGGAGGAAAATGGAGACTGTCACAGAGTTCTGAGTGTGACGTGGAATGAAATCACTTGAAGGGGACTGTGGTAAGTTAAAACGCTCTTGTCACCTTAGAGCAACCCTCAAGTAACGGAGCAACAGTCCCAGGGAAGGAGCCATCAGAGAAGGCACAGAGCAGTGTACAAAACTCAGCTCAAAACAGAAACGGACACAAGGGTAGACACCTGGGCCAACGAGAAACAGCAAAGGGTGAACTTGAATCCACTACCTCAATGATCCCATCAAACATGAAAGGCGTAAGACTCCAGTTAAAAGGCAGAGACTGTTAAGAGACGGAATCCAAGGCAAGACCCAGCGGCATATGCCTCCAAGTTCTCACGGTGGAGGTGAGACTAATGGGCCCAAAGGAGAAGGCGGGTCGAGAGCCCAGGTTAGCATGGTTGAAGGAGGGGAAGGTCGCTGTACTGATGTCACAGGAAGTGGGCGTCAGACCCGGCCAGGGGTGAAGAAGACGATTCCTCACGGACGAGGGGTAAAGTGATCAGAAGACCTGAAACCTGAAGCACTCATGCCCCATAACAGCTTCAAAGTACAGAGGCAGAAATGGACAGAAACGAAGGCAGAGGTGGACAGATCATAACGAGGGTCAGAGATGTCGATATGTCACTTTCAGCATTTGACGGAAACAAGCAGACCAAAGACCAGCAAGGGTACACCAAACTCAAATGCCAGCATGGGCTCAGTATCTTTTACACAAAATGCTGGGGACCAGAAATGTCCCAGGTTGGGGAGTTTCTCAGATTTTGGAAATTTTGCAAGGACTTTATCTGTTGAGCATCCCTAATGCAAAAAACAAAAAAATCAAATAAATATAAAATAAAAATACCTAGTCCCAAATCTGAAATGCTCTAAAATCTAAAACATTGGCCCTCAAAAAGTTTTGGATTTTAGATTTTAGATTTTGGGACTAGGAATGCTCAGCCTATAAAAAGAAGATTGACCTGATTGACATTCATATAATACTCCATCCAACAAAAGAATGCACATCCTTTTCAAGTGCACACAGAACATTTACTGAAGTAGACCCATAAAAATTCTCGATTAAACCTGAAAGAAATCGATACATACAAAGTATAGCTCTAACCATATGGAATTAAGTTAGAATTCAATAGCAGAAAGAGCTCTATATTTGGAACTGAAACAACACACTTGTAAATAACTCATGGGTGAAAAAAAGAAATTAAAAAGGAAACCAGAAAGTATTTTGAACCGAATGAAAATGAAGATACTACATCTCAAACTTTGCAGGATGCAGCTACAGCAGTATTCGGGGGAAATTCATAGCAATAAACCTTTATATTATAAAAGCAAGGTCTGAAACGAATGACCTTAACTTTCACCTTAAGAAACTAGAAAAAAGGAGAGCAAATTAAGTCTACAGTGAGCAGAAACAAGGAAATGAGGCTGGCCTGGTGGCACACCCGTGATCTCAACAACCAGGGAGGCTGAGGCAGGAGGATGGCAAGCACAAGGCCAGCCCGGTCAACTTAGCAATCCTCTGTCTCAGAATAAAAATGGCTGAGGATGTGACTCAGTGGTAAAGCACCCCTGGGTCCAGTCCCCAGTACTACCACAAAACAGAGAACTTTTGTGTTTCAAAGGGTCACATCAAGAAACTGCAAGATGGCCCATAAAATGGGGAAAAGCAGGTGTCCGATAGGGACTTAAATCTATACATGTAAAGAACTCTTAAAAGTACACAAGAATGGGGCTGGAGACATGGCTCAGTGGGTAGAGTGCTGGCCTTGCATGCACAAGGCCCTAGGTTCAGTCCCCAGCACAACCACCACCAAAAAAAAGTATCTGAACAGACATTTCTCCAAAGGCAATCCAGCAGCAGAGAGCTCAGCACGGCACCCTCAGGCTGAGGGGGAAGACTGTGAGTGGGTCGAGCCTGCACGATTCCATGGGTTTGGAGACTCCTGAGGAATCCTCAGAGAAACCAGCGCTGATAACTGAGTCCAACCATGCTGAAGCACGCGATGTCCACACTCAAAACCCACCTGAAGCCAGCATTTGAAATGAAGTTAAGGCCATCCCCTTCACACTAGCACAAAAAGAATGAATCAGATTCATGAGTGACCATCAATAATCACACTGACCAAATAATTTAATCAGACATCTGATAACAAACTTCAAATTATTAACGACTCATTTAACACGAGGCACAAGACTCATGCGTGCAAAACGTCAAACGCTGGGAGAGAAAGCAGAGCTCCGACCACGTGAGGAGCCGCCGCTGGGATGGCGGTCCACCCCGGGATGCAGCCCCATCCCCAGTGGAGTCCAGCAGACATCAACAGGTCAACTCTAAAGTTTATGTGGAAACAGGAAGGGCCCAGAAAAGCCAAAACCATTTTGAAAAGTCAAACAAGGTTGGAGATGTCTCCAATTCCTAAGGGTAATGAAGGCCACGGTGCTCAAGATGGAGTGTCCTGGCAGATCCCGGGTTTACCTTATAAGGTGGACACACAGACCAGTGCAACAGATCCGAGTCCAGGCAGGCGCCTTCACTCTTGGGGTGAACTGACTTCCCCTTCAATGGGGGAAAGGACAGTCTCTTCAACAAAGGGTGCTGGAAGATGGATTCAGAGCTCAATTTCATCCAGAAAAATTAGGTCAAAATGGATGACAGACCTAAATATCAGAGCTAAAACCATAAAACTTCTAGAAGAAAATGGGGACATCTTTGTGCACTTGGTTAGTAGAGAATCCTTAGTTATGGGGCCAGAAGTCTGATCCATGAAAGAAGTTGGCAGTTGGGCTTTACCGAGACTGAGAACTTTGAGAAGAAGAAAGACAGCCTTCAGAGAGCGGAAGGAGGCGCCCCGTCGGGAGACGTTGGCAATGGCGCATCTGTCTTCTTTCGCACACCAAGGACTCGAGGTCAAAAACAAGAGCACACACAGTGTGGAGTTTTCAAGTGGGTAAAGCGTTTGGACAGACGCTTCTCCAGAGAAGACACACGGACGGCCCACGAACCCACGAAGCGCTGCCCAGCAGCAGCAGCCAGGGCCACGCAGACCCCAGCTGCGAGGAGCCAGCACTGGAGACCTTGGCTGCAACCAAGCAGAGAATGCCAGGCCGGAGGAGCAGCGGCCAGAGGGCCTGCACGCAGGAGGGACGCAGAGTGCCCCGTTCCGGGAATAATGGACACTTTCTTGCAGTTGGACTGTGAGTCCACTGCATGGCCCAGTGGTCCCACTCCGGAGAGCCAAAGGCAAGTGTTTCAATAAGGACTTGTGCCCAGTGTCCACAGTGGCACCGTCCACAAGAGGCCAAATGTCCACTGTGGGTGCCACTCTGAGAGGAAGGAGGGCCCTGGTGACGTGGCCAAATGCAGGAGCCTGACATCGTGCAGGAGAGAGGACGGAGCCTGAGCCACAGGCAGCGAGCTCCCATTCACATGAAGTGTCCAGGAAAGGGCAGTCTGCAGAGTCTGAGGACGGCTAGGGCTGGCTAGGGGCGGGTGTGGGGACAGGGTCGCCAGCAGGGGTCTTTCCGGGGAGGGAGATGTTCTGAGAGAGAGTCATGCTGTGCTGGTGGCTGCCCAGACCTGAGGGCTTGGCACAGGTTCGTCTCACGGCGTGAAAACGATGCCTGCCCGAGGCCGTTCAGCAGACCGGCTGGCCATGACCGAGGTGTCCGCCACGCCCAGGAGGGGCGTCCTAAATGCAGCCTGCTGGGCCAAGGGGAAGAGCACGGACTGGGGCTCGCAGCGTGGTGGCAAGGGCTTTGGGAAGTTGGCGGGCCCATCTCACCGCAGGAGGGGACCTCATCCTCCTTGACCACCCCAGGGGTGGACTCAGCCAGACCCACAGCGTCTCTTCCCTCTTCCGTGTTCTGTAAGATGCGCACTGACCTTGGGCAGCAGCCTGCACGCAAGCCAGACACGGACTCTCACGGCACACCCAGAAACCAGGCTGCCCCACCAGTGGGAGGGCGGCAAGCCCCGCTCCTTCTGCTAGGTCTGGGCCACCGACTTTGGCACACTCAGCACGGGTGCCAGGAAGCACCGGAGGCATCTTTCCTGGGCGTTTGCTGCCCAAGAACCCCACCCCGGGGCCTCTGCCCTTGGGAGAGGCGCCATCATCCCCTGGTGGAGCTTACTCTTGGCAAGGTCCCCGTGGGCCTGCTGCAGCTGGACCCGCAGTGTGAAGGGGGCTCCTTGGGCCACTTCCAGCACCTCTGGACCCAGAATGACGATCCTCGTGGCTTGTTCTGGGAGAGGGCAGAGGACAGCGTCAGCGGCTGGGAGGGTCGACCCCTGCAGCTCCAGCCCTCTCCTGCCTGTCAGAGGAGCTGCCCAGAAGACAGTGTCAGGTGACATCAAGCCCGAGGGAGGAGCCCAGCTGGTGTGCAGGGTCGCCTGGGCTGAGGCCACCCAGGTCCCACGAGGAGCAGGAATCGTGGCCCAGGGAGGTGGCCAGCCCCTCTGTAGGCCATAGGCCACCCTGTGGTCACTTCAGGGTGTACAGCATCAGGGGAGTCAGACTGAGGCTACCTGGGGGGCAGTACAGCATGACCAGGCCACTCCAGATGCCTGGGGCTGGGAGGTCCCTGGGTGGGGGTGTTGTGAGGGGGTCTGCGGCTGGGAGGCCCTGCTGCAGCAGGACCCTGCATGTCCACAGCCCTCTGGAAATCAAACCACAACATGCTTCTCCTAACGGGGAAGGGACTTTGGGTTCCATCTCATCCCAGGCCTTGCCCAATGTGCTTGAGGCCCAGTGTCCCCAGTGTGACTTCCCAGGGCCACCTGAGAACGAGGCCAACCCCACAGGTCAACAGGAAGGCCAGGGACACCTACCCACTGGGTGGCCGTTGATCCACAGGCCGCAGTAAGTGACTCCCGAGAAGTGGGCCAGGCTGCCCAGCCCACTGAAGGCATCGCTGTGCCACTGTCCCTGCAGAGGACAGAATGGCCTCAGAGGTTAGTTCCACAGGGACGGGCCTCTGCACACCTCCAAGCTCTGGGAGCGCAGCCCAGTGCTTTCCTGAGTGGCAGGGCCATTCTGCTGGGGTGCCGGCCAGCTTGCTTGGTCAGGGGTCTCTCCTTCGGCTTTTAACACGCGGAGAACAAGCTCACAGCACCCGGGAGACGGGTCAGAGACAGCCTTGTGTCCACCACAGAGACCCGCCCCCGCCCAGGGCGCCAGGACGAGGTGCCCGTTAGGCTGCACGCTCCTAAGTGGAAAGGCCATTAAAGCAGAGTGAACACAGGCCCCCTGGGCGGGGCCTGCTCACGGCATGCCCCCTCCAGCCACTCCCCAGCAACAGCTGGCCTCCAGCTCACACGCACAACGGAGGGAGGAACAGCAACGTGACAGAGCAGGAGAGGCATTTCCATGGAAAATCCCAGTGTGTCGTGTCTGCCTGGGTCACTTCTGTAAGGGGAACTGGCCCAGGGCGGCTCCGTTCCAGCCGCTCCGCTGCAGAGGTCAACTGGGCTCCAGGATCCCCGCCCACCCTAGGCCTCAGGCTGCATGGTGCGGAGGCACGGGCTCTGCGGGCACCGCACTGGCCCTGGGACACGGGCCATGTGGGCACCGGAGGGAGGGCAGCCCTGAGGGGCGGCAGCAGAACGGGGGCATGGTGCTATGGAACGCTCAGGCCTGCGGGGACTGGGAGGCCGAGGATGCCCAGACTGGGGAGAAGGGCCGCAAAGGGCTGGCACCCCAAAGTCTAAGAAAGAGAGCTTTTCATGGGCCCTTGGGGACAAGCCAGAGACAAGTGTGGAGAGGGCCTTGGGCCGGCCACATCAGCAGGGGTGGGCAGCTCAGAGCTGTCCTCCCCACACAGCCGGCGCCTGCAGACCTCACCCCTTTCTGATCTGGGCAGAGTCTCCCTCCCACGAGCTGCTAAGTCATCCCTATGGGGTCTCGAGGGGCCCCAGGCGGCCCTGTCCCTCCTGCACTGAGACCTGAGTTGCTAGCCCCACACGGATGGCCCCCACTCCCACGGTTGCCCACTGGCCGTGCTCCTGGAGTGCCCAGTGCTGAGTGCCTGCGGTGTCGCCCATGGCCGCCCAGGGTGTCCTGGTAGGAGGAGCTGCAACTCAAAGGCCTCCGAGCCCCGTGCAGCCATGGACCTGAGGCCCCAGAGCCGGGCGCACGGAAGAGGACGGCAGGGCCTGGGGCCGGGTGCCAGGAGTGGGCTCCGGGCTTGCAGTGGTGTGGCCATGTCCTGCCGGGAGCCGGCACGCGGGTCCTCACCCTGGCCTGGCCTTCCTGGTCACGTGACTACACTTCCCAGAAAGGGGGCCATAGTCCTCATTTACTGCTCCTCCCCCGTGGCCTCCTGTCCCCTCCTGGCACTGCCGTCCTCACTCCTGTCCCTGGTTTCCTTCCTTCCCGGTCCAGCTCTCCAGAGAGGGATGACCTAGCACACATGCTGGAGTGCACACTCGGTCTGCAGGGAGGCCTGGGGCAGGCACACTGCCTCCAGACCAAGGCTCTTCAGCCAGCTCCTCAGAGGAGGTGCAGCCACGTATCTGTCCACGGGGGGGTGCCACAGGCACGGAGAGGCCAGACAGATGCACGGCCCCCACGGTGCTGCAGAGATGCCTACCGCGGGCACACAGCTGGGGCGGGTGGTGAGAAGTGCTCCTTGCAAGTCTGCCAGGAGCCCTGGCCACTGCGCTCCCTGGGACCACTCGAGCATGGCCAATGGTGCCTGCCACCACCGCGGCAGAGGTGACTGTGCGTGGCACTCTCGGACCTGAGCCCTCTCCGCAGTTCTGGGGCTTCGGCACAGCCCTTGGCTGGTGCAGATGGCTAGCCTGTGGGCTGGTCCCGGCTGCACAGATGTGAATCCCGCGCTCGGACACCCTGCTCTTGCTGGTCCACACGCACCCAAAGAGGGAGCCGTACATGCCAATGTGCCTTATCCTCGGTGTGGAGAGGTTCCTTGCCACACCAGGGACAAGGGGTCCTGGGGCCACCTTGAAGCAGCCCGAGGGGGCAGCTGAGCAAGGCTGGCCTGGACCTGAGAGCCAGGCACGTTCCGGGTCGGTGCCCAGGGCGGGCTCCAACACACAGCAGCCTCGGCTGGGCCAGGGTGGGGCACAAGGCCACTGACCAAGCCCCTGGGGTGGGCCTCGGCTGGGCCAGGGTAGGACACAAGGCTACCGGCCCAAGCCCTTGGGGTGGGCACAAGGCCACTGACCCAATCCCCTGGGGTGGGCACCACCATTCTCCCTCCCCCTAGTCATGCTGCTGCCTGGCACCCAGGTGAGGACAGGGTGCAGTGAGGGGACACAGGAAGGTGCAGGCGATGACAGGGACAGCCAGGGAAACCCACACCCAACATAAAGCAAGAATGGGGAACACGGGAGACCAACGCCAAGGAACGGGTGTGCAGGTGGGAGGGGGGCCAGGGTCAGCCTCCAAGGCGACCTCAGGAGGAGGGGTGCCAGCCCAGCACCTTCCCGCCCGGCTGCCACCACCCTGGCACTCCCAGAGGCCTCCTGACTCCTGGGGCAGGTGAGTGCAGCCCAGACGGGACGCTCGTTCAGTGATGTCCCCAGACACTCTGACCAGCAATGCCCCGTGGCTTGCAAGCGATGGGCGCCGTCCAGCCACGGGGAAGCTGAGTGTAAATGAACCGTGAGGACAAGTACCCGGCTCCATCTCGGGCAGTGGTCTTTCTGTGGTACCTAGGGGTGAGCCCAGGGCCCGCTGCTACTGAGCGGCACCCCCAGGGCCTTGCTAAGTTGCTGAGGCTGGCCTTGAACTTGCCAATCCTTCTGCCCCAGCCTCCAGGTTGTGGAACAGTGGTGTGGCCAACGTGCCTAGCTCCAGGCAGCTCTTTCCAGCTAATCCATGCCGGTTTTCCCTACATTCGAATTAGAAATGACTCTGCAGCTGCCCGGCCTCCTTCCCACAGTGTGTGCATGTCCGTCCTCGTCAGAAGTCCACCTCTCAGGCTCTTGCCCACCGCAGTCCTCCCTGGGTTCCAGGGACCTGGCTGATAACAGCAGGAAGAGCCTGGCAGGGGTCGGGGAGCCACAAGCCTCTATGCTGCTCTGTTCTGAAGGAAGGAACTGTCCCCAACTGTAGCCAAGTCTCAGACCTGAGCAGGTGAGTGCTAAGGTCACTCCCTGCGGGTACCTCAAGGGCAAGAGCGGCTGGGACCTTCCTCCTGGCCCTGGGGCACGACGGTGAGATGTGTGCCGCCCCTCAGCCACCAAGGACAGGTGGCCCCTCACTTCCCAATGAACGGCGGGATCCACAGGGCGCCGCTCCACCTGGTCCTAGCTGCACGTTCCTGGGACTTCCTGTCAGCAGATCTGCGGTCTTGACATCACTGATCCCCATGTTCTGTGGGGTCACTGACCTGGCACAGAACCTAAGAGTTCCTGTGGTGACTGTGGCCAGTGGGGAGGGTCCTTGCTGAGTGGTTGGCTCCGTAAAAGGCCACGGCTGGGTGTAGATGCTCCAATACCCCCAGTTTTGCCCGGGATCTGTGTGGACCTGTTCTGGGGTCACTAGCCTGCCTTCGTGGACTTGGCCTTTCTGACCCGAGGACGGGGCGCAGGATGTGGGAGGGGCTCTGGGCCCTGTCCATCGGCCCCTGGGTCTCTCTGGCGCAGCGTTCCCACAGATCCCAGGTGAGGAGAGGGGGGCTGGAGACGGCTGCAGGTGAAGGTACCCGTAGGCCGGCCATCTGCTCCCCGTGGGAGACCAGCCAGTCTCCTGGAGCCATCTCCCCAGGGCTGCAGGAAGTTCTGCAGCTGGGACACTGGAACCGCAGACAGATACCGCGCTTCACCAAACCAAAGGTGCCCCCCCAAAGACCCCGCTCCCCCGGTGCACTGCTCTGGGCTCCACTAGGGTTCCCTGAGTGTTGCTGCTCTCCAGGGGCTACCCTGTGCCGTGGGGCGCCACCAGGCCTTCCTGGGTCACCTGATGTCCTCTGGGGGTCTCTGACCAGCCCTGAGTTCGCCTGCAGTAACTGCTGGCATCTCTGTGCTCCTCAGGTCTGGGTCTGACCTCTGTACAAGCCAAGACAACCCGGGCTACTGTGAGAAATGGCTGGGGCCAAGCCTGGAGGGCTGAGAGGCCTCACCCAGAGTGGAAGGATGAGGGAGAGGACTGGCTGCTTTCCAGCCTTTGCAGAAAACAAAGCTGCACCTGAAATAAGTGGGAAGTAGCTGGTGGGCCTGGGGGGCTTCCTGGAGGCAGCTGAGCACCGGCCCATCCGACAGGCAGAGTCCAAGGCCAGGCGCAGCCGTGGGAAGGCTCTGCACAGAGCCCCAGCACAAGCCCTAGCAGGAGAGAGGGCCTTGACATGGCCAGCCCGGCCAGGGGGGTGGGAGAGACGGACACCAACAGAAGGGGGAGGGCGAGGGCGGAGGGTGCGGGCCCATCTCGGCGGCTGCGGTTAGCAGGGCGCACGCTCATTAGGATGGCGCCGTTGACACAGCCAGAAAAGGAGGGTGGGCAGCAGGTGCAGAAACTGAGCCCCTGGGCACCTCGGTGGGAACCAGAAGGGCGCAGCCACTGCCACACGGTGCCGTCCCCCATGTGGGTCCACACAGCGCCACAGAGCGGGCTCCGGAAGGGACCTGCACACCAGCAGCCTCACCACCGCCAAGGCTGGAAGCAGCGGCCCTGGCACCCGACAGACCCGGGAAAGAAAACGTCACCTGAGTGGACGCGGTGGCCAGGGCTGGAATCCCAGGCGGAGGCAGGGGGATCACAAGTTTGGGACCAGCCTCAGCAACTCAGCAAGGCCCCGGATCAACATTTAAACAGGTGGAACGGGCCAGCTGTGGTGGTGTGTGCCTGAAGCCCTGCTCTGGGGAGGCTGAGCAGGGGGTGGCAAGTTACTGAGACAGTTTCCAACTGAGGATGGTTGTTAAAGGTCAGGGAGGTAGCGGAGGGTGGAGCCCCCTGGGCCCGACCCCCAGCACCGCTCAAAGAGAGTGGTGTACCCCTGACGGAGGAGCACTCAGCCTCACAGAGGGAATTCCGACACGGCTGCAGCGAGGACAAACTTCCAGGATGCTGTGACTTACGCCAGACACAAAGGGCCCAGTCCCTGGAGAGCCCTTTCACGTGACGCCCCAACAGTCGGATGTTCAGAAGAGACAGGAGGACGGGTGCCGGGCCGGCAGGGCACGGGGAGCCTGGAGCTGGCAGGTGGAGACGCACCGGGTGCGTGTGGATTAGTGCTCAGAGCTGCACGCCCAAAGCCAGCACGATGGCAGATGTCATGCCACCCGGGTTACTCTTACAGGAAAGGGCTCTTGTCCACACTGGTCCTCAGCCACACCAGGGCTGCTAACAAGGCGGCTGCAGGGAACGGAATTCAGGGCCCACATCATGTGGCCCTGGGTCCTCTGGTCACTCTGTGTTCCTGGCAGTAGCTGCTTCAGTTCCTGCCACCACTCTTGATGCGATGAGAGTGTCTGGGCCACAGGCCAAAGTGGCACAGAGGATGGGGACCATCTCCTCCGCTTCCCCGGACACTGCCAGGGCTCCTGACCCAGCTGGTCAGCCACGGGCCAGGGGCCAGCCAGGGTGTGTGCACAGGGCTTGGTGAAGGGCCTGCAGATGGGCCGAGCGGAGGACTCTGGGTCCTCACTAACAGACATGCAGGCCGCCCAGGGGTGAGGCCTCTCTGAAACGTCCTGTGGAATTCCAGCCTCTGGCCCCAGGACAGGGAGGTCACGACCACAGGCAGGCCTGCGCTCCCAGAGAGGCCTGGGCTTCCTCGGTGGCCCGGCACCGGCTGGGAACTGAGGCTGGAGGCTGGTGTGGTGCTGCTGAGTGGCGCTGGGCTGCCCCCTGGTGGAGTGGTGGAGCTGCCGCAGCTGGAGAGGCACTTCCACCGCCCTGTCCCCAGTTTCCGGCTTCAGGGTGGAGGTGCAGCATAGAGCTGGGTCCACTGGTGACCAGAGGCAGCATGGCCTATGGTAACTTGGGGAGAGACCTGCCTCTGGGGCCAGGATTCGGCTAGGGGAGCACAAAATCTTGGTGACTCCCCCAACTCTGCCATGCTGAGGGCTCTGTCCTGGCCACCAGCAGACACCACTTCCCTTTTGTGCTTGGGCAGAGGGTCAGGCCCTGGGGGGACCCAGCAGGGCAGTCTTCCCGGAAGCTCAGGGCCTGCGGCACTGGGCTGTGGCCAAGGCCCTGTGCTGAGGCCAAGGGCTGCGCCGTCACTTCCTAGTTTGGGAGACGTCCTGAGCCTCCGTTTCTCCATCTATAAATCAGGGCGATGGCCTGTCACAGAGGAGCCGAGGCCGACACGGTGAGGAGCTGAGCAGGGAACTGTCACGGAGCAGCCACACCAGACACCCTGACCCACAGCCGTTGGGCAGGTGGGGTGCAGGGAGGAGGTCTTAGTGGGGTCCTGGCTCTGCGCTCTGCCATGGCGCCTGAGTCAAGCCACATGTGGGAACGCTGGTCCTGAGCAATGGCCACGTGGCCCCTGCTGGGGGAGAAGATGTGGCTTCCTCCCAGACTTCCATGTCCCACAGGCAGCCAGTGAGGACCACTGTCCGAGCTCCTGTGGCTAGCCACCTCCAGCAGAACCGACCTCTTCGCAGCTCTGACGGGAGTTCAACCACCAGGGTCACCGGCCAGGAACGAGGCCTTCCTCAGGGGCCTGGCACCTCTCAGCTGGGGCTGGAGCTGTCCAGAGGCCTGAACTCGCCTCCTTCCTGCTGAGACTGTGGGACGCTCAGGGGACCCCTCAGCCAGTGCAGTCACCATCGCTGCCATCACCCAGTGCAGCGGTGCTGGGCTCCCAGGCCCTGATCCGGCTGGCGCTTCACGACCAACACGGTGACAGCTCCAGCTGTGAGAAGCCCCAGCACCGCCCTCCTGGCTCCCAATTCCCACTGCAAGGAGCTCACCCTGCAGTCAGGCCCCGGGGCGGCAGGCTAATGCCACCAGACCTGAGGGCCCTGGGACAGCAGGATGACACCACCCATCCTGGAGGGCCCTGGGACAGCAGGCAATGCCCCCATCCTGGAGGATCCCGGGTCAGCAGGTCAAAGTCACCCCATCCTGGGGGGCCCTGGGACAGCAGACCAACGCCACCCCATCCTGGAGGGCCCCGGGTCAGCAGGTCAAAGTCACCCCATCCTGGAGGGCCCTGCAGCAGCAGGTCAAAGCCACCCCATCCTGGAGGTGCCTTGGGGACACTCTTGCATCGCTATTTTGGTGTTGTTCTTTGCCCTTTTCCTGGTCAGTGATTCTTTCATTGCACTTCCTCTGGTGACAGTTCCAGAGTGGCTTCCTCTCCTGCTGCATCTGGAGCAGGTACCTTCTCCTCCCACGCTCAGGCCAGGAACCCACCAGTCCTCCTTGTGTCTCTTCCTGCCTGATGCCCACCTGTCAGTGAGCGCCACACCTGCCGGCCGCGCCCTGCAGGCCGGTTCCTGCTTCCTGAAGAGTGTGCAGGGCCCCCTCGCCTGTCAGTGTCTACACGAGAGCCAGAGATGAGAGGGGCTTCGTGACGGGCGGGCGGCTGTGATGCGGGAGGGAAGCCCCACTCCCCCGAGGCTCTGGGACAGCAGGATGCCCGGGCCCTGACTGCTCTTGACCTTGCCCTCTTTCTGCGTGTTAGTCTCTCTGCCCTTGCTGCTCCACGGCCTGGCAGGCTCTGCCCTTCCGTCTCTAGGTGGCAGCTCGTCCACCTCCCGGCCTCAGCTCCAAGGCTGGTCCCTCTGGGAGGGCCCCCAGGGCAGGTGTCTGTGCCCGGCTCAGCGGAGGACTCACCGGCTGCTGGTGCCAACAGCACCCCAAGCTGGCCCCTGCTTGCTCTGCTCCTCATGGTGAAAGCCATGGCGGGGTCCTGGGAAGGTCTCCCTACCTGCCTAGCTCTCCACCTGCTTCCTCAGAGCCTGAAGTCCCCGGAGGGAGGGGACCACGCGAGCCTCACTCCTGAGGAGAGGGTGGGGCTCCTGCCTGGATATGCAGGGGGCCTGCTGGACCCAGGTGTCTCTCATCAGCATGCTTTATGTGACCAGAAGTGACTCTCTCCTCTACAGGGCACAGTGTCATGGTCCTCCGTGACTCCAGGAGGTGGCCAAGCTGGTGCCAAGGCCTCTAGGGCCAGGTGTCAGCTGAACACCCAAACTCAGCTCAACCAAATCACCCTCACTGAGCTTCAGTTTTCTCATCAGTGCCTGCCCCAGGGAGTCTTCAAGGGACCAGCGTCCACCCCATGGCAGGACTCGCTGGAGTTCAGATCAGGCTGAGAAGCAGCAGGCACTGGAGCAGGCTCTGCAGACAGACCGAAGCTGCCAGGTGGGGAGGGTGGGGTCTCCCTTGGCAGCAGGAAAGAAGGGCGCCCTCCCCAGGGCCTGGTCAGGGGGTGGCCCCAGCGTGGGCTGCGGGATGCGCCGCAGAGCAGGCCAGCCTTTCCTGGAAGCGCAGGCGCCTCCTCTGGGTCCAGCTGCAGAGGGGCCCTGCGTCCTCGGGGCTCTCAGGGCTCCTGGGTGGGGGGCCTTGTGCTGACCGACTGGCTTTCTCATTCGCCTGTCTTGGCACAAGGCCTGTCCAGCTGAGGACACTGTTGTGGAGGAGCCTTGCCCCTGTGTGTCACCTGGAGGGTGCCGCCAGGTCCAGCAGCCTGCTCCCTGAGGAGCTGCCCCGCCACCCAGCCGCCCACCTCCCCTGTGGGTGGTGAGCGGATACCTCATAGGTGGATCCGTCAGCGCAGTGCAGCACCCCGTGTCCCTGACGCCGGTCCTGGACCCAGTCCCCGTCATACTTATCACCGTTCCTGAGGGGCACAGCACAGGGCCCTCAGCAGGCAGCCAGGTGGCGGCTGTGACTCAGACCTGCTCCTCCCACTGGGCTCAGCACGCACCACCCGGACCAGGGCAAAAATCGGCCCGAACAGATGGCCTGCGGGTCCTGCCTCCCCAGGGCCAGCTCAGGAGGGCCGGAGTCGGGCAGGACGTGTCTGCCTGACTCTGCAGGACCCGCTTCCAGAGCAGGCCGGGCTCCACACCCAGCGTGCTCGGCTCCTGCCGCCTGACGGGGAAAGGGTGGAAGAAACAGGAGAGGGCCGGGCGCAGGGCGGGTGGAGTGAGAACGGCTCTGGGACATGGCATTCAGGCCCCAGGCCTCATATCCTCGCCTGGAGGGGTGGCTGTGCCAGCCAGGAGGCACCCCTCATCAAACCCGGGTGGCCTGGGGGGAGGCCACCTCCCCAGCCCACTGGCCCACCAGGTGCTTTTAACTTTGTTGAGTTGTAGACGGACAGAACGCTTTCCTTTCATTTACTTATTTACTTATTTCTATGTGGTCTGAGGATGGGACCCAGGGCCTCCCACGGGCCAGGCGAGCGCTGGCCCACTGAGCCCCAGCCCCAGCCCACCAGGCATTTTAGTTGGGGGGGCTGACTTTTTCTACTAAACACACAACCCGTTCGAATGAGGAGAGGGCAGGGTGCGGCTCAGCGCTTCCTACACGTGCAGGCCCTGGTCCACTCCAGCACCACAAGAGGAAGAAAAGAGAGGATTCACAAAGTGACCCTGGGCCAGCGTTCCAGGACTGGACGCCCATGGCCTGGGGCTCTGCAGAACCCACCCCACCCAGGGGCACCCCTGCTCTGGCTCCGCATGGCCCACACCGAGGCCCATACTCACTTAAAGAGCATCTGTCCCCGGCCATGCCTTCTGTTGTCATGGAACGACCCCTCGTACTCCTGTCCTTCCCCGTCCACCAGAAACCCCCGTCCTAGGAAGGAACCAAAAGACACAAGTGTACTGCTGCCTCCTGCCAGGGATGGCCTGCTCCTGGCTCTTGGGGTGACTGCCTTCCAGAGGGACTCTGCCTGCAGACCCGCGGTGGCCCTCCCTGGCAGAGAGGCCAGCAGGAAGGGGTGAGCTGAGGGGAAGGCTGGGGTTCCGTGACCCTGCACCCAGGAGCCAGGCTGTCCTTCCAGGCTGGGCTACACAGGGGTCACAGGCACTGCCTGGACAGGAATAGCAAATGTGAGTTTGCCACTAGTGGGCTGACCCACAGGCCATGAGCCCAGCTCCAAGAGGCTGAGGGAGGGCTCTCTCGGAGGCTTCCAGACCCAGCGACTGAGGTGGAGTTAGCTGAGGAGCGCCGGGTGTGTTTGAAGTCTGCGCACGCTGGCTGGTGGCCTCAGGAACTTGTCAGCACTTCACATCTGGACACAGGCATGGAACACAGCCAGCCTGGGAAGAAGGAAGCCACCCCTATAGCGGAGGTGGCCCTGCCCGCTCGACTCCTTTCCAGATGTAGCCAGTCCTTCCACCAGTGGCTGGGCAAAGGGACAGGACCCTTCGAACCTGCCTCCTGACTTGCTCTGGCCAACAGACTGAGAAAGGGGCCGCTAGGCCCTGGGAGGGCCTGCAGTCTCCCCTGGAAGTCCTGAGACATGGAACCTTGGGCAGTGCCAGGCCTGCTGAGCTGTGGCTGCAGGCCTGGGGCAGCTCCAGGTGAGACCAGAGGGCCTGCCCCGTGGGCCCTAGGCCAACCTGAGGACCACAGGAGCCTGAGCAAGTGACCCCAGTGTTGGGCATGAGCTAGGGGCAGCAGACAGCTGAGGTATGACCAGTGTCACTGGACACAGCGGTGGGGCTTAGCATGCGGACCTACGCCGGATGTGGTCTGGGAGCAGAGATGAGGGCATGACCCTGCCCCCAGGGCCCCCACCTCCTTTTCCAAGCTCTAAAGCCAGACAAGCTGAGTTAGTGACTCCCATGCCAGAGTGGGCTTCTGGCTCCAGCCCCCCGCAGCACCCTGTGCACACCAGACCTGCCCTCAGGCCATGAGAGAGCTCCCCTTCATAGTGGCCTCCGGCTTTATACTTCATGACGCCATGTCCTTGAGGCTCTCCCAAAATAAAGTGTCCAGAATAGGTGTTTCCTGGGTAGACAACAGGAAGAAGTCAGTGCCATGTCCTGCATGTCCTCTCCCCTGACCAGTGTGGTGGCAGGGGCCATTTCAGAGTGGACATCCCTGTCTCTCACTCCTCACATGGTTCATGGGGGACAAACAGGACGACCCGGGCCTGGTCCTCCCTGCCTTGGGGCCTGCTGCTGTTCCAGGTGACCTTCCCTGTGGGCACTGGGGTCACGGTGTGGGTGAGACTTGTCCCCAGGCCCTCTAAAAACAACTGGAAGCAGAGCCTGAGAGAAGAGTTCCCTTGAGCCCCCGCTGAGCCCCCGCACCCACTGCCTGTGGGCTCTGAGGTCCCTGGAGCTCCCTGCCACGGGGCACGGAAGCCAAGAGCAGTGTTCCCATCCGGGACACAATGTGGTTGAAACGTCCTTAACAAAAAAGGAAACTGCAGCTGCAGGATCATCTTTTTCCTGACAGTCTCCCGATGTTGCCCAGGCTGGCCTCCAGCTCTTGAGTGCAAGTCAGGTGAGCCTCCAGCCTCAGCCTTTTGCAGAGAGGGGACAATAGCCCAGTGCCACCAGCACTGGCTCTGTGATGACGAATCTTTCCAGCTCATGTCTGGCAAGGTGGGCACACAGCCCCGACTGAGGTGTCCTCACTGGACCAGGTTCCGCCTGGGCACAGAGGCTATCTTTGCCGCTGGTATGCTGTGGTCACACTGCTGTCCCAAGCTGGGGAAACTGGGGCCTCTTGTTTCCTCACAACACCTGTGTCCAGAAGCAGGGGACCAACCTATGCCTGAGAGCGCCTGGGAAAGGAGGCCACACTGTTCCTCCGCACTCACCTGACCAGGCCCAGTACCGGCATCCGAGCCCTGTGATCTCGCCATCCGCAAACTCGCCCTCATAGTAACTTCCATCATTAAACAGCAGCTTCCCATGACCTGGGGAGGACCACGGAAAGTCAGGGACCCGGTCCCCACTGCCAACGAGCCCCGACTCGCCAGCCTCGTCTCAGAGTAAGGGTGGCGACACCTAACCCCCAGATCTCTCTGGCCCCGTCACATGTCCACTGTGTGCTCTTTGCCAGTCGCCCACGTCCTCCACATTTATCTCCAGAATCCTCCACCAGGAGCCAGAGGCAGCAGCACTGCAAGCTTGAGGCCAGCCTGGGCAACTCAAAATAAAAATGTGGGGCTGGGGTGTGGCTCCGTGACAGGGCGCTCGCCTACCATGCACGAGGCACTGGGTTCGATCCCCAGCACCACATTAAAAAACTAAATAAACAAAATAAAGGTATTGTGTCCATCCACGACTAAAAATATTAAAAAAAAAAATGTAAAGAGGGCTGGGTGGAGCACAGTGGCAGAGCACCTGCCTAGCATGCAGGACGAGGTCCTTGGTTTCATCACCAGCACCAAAAAAAAAAAATACAGTTCTCAAAACATCTAGTGACTGGAGTGCTCTGCTGTGTTCCTCAGCACTCTGCATTGGCTGGAAGGACCACAGAGGCCCAGAAGTGCACATGTTCCTATCTCCCTCCCAGAGGGACGCAGGCCAGGAGTGACTGGGGGCAACCCCCCACGCAGTCTGGGTAGGAGCTTCCACACCCTGGGTGTGGCAAGCACCAAGTAAAAGCTGAATGTCGAGATGGAAGAGCAGAAGCCAGCAGATGTGGCCAGCCCAGCCTCCAGGGGAACACAGGGAGGACGTGGGCAGGTGGGACCCAGCGACAAACAGCAGATGCTGGGGAGTCCAGACCCCAAACACTCACAGCACTTGCTATTGCATGTAGGGTATTTCAGGGGGTTTCACTTGAGGCTTTCTTTCCTCTATTCCTCTATAAAAGTAGGTCATCTCTTTATAATCAGGAAACAACCTTAAGGCACGTTTTCACTCTGGAAAAGATCAGCTAGCTAAGACTCCGGGGAGGACTTCCAAGCTGCCACTTCCTTTGCTGAAAGTGCCCCAAGGCTTGCCAGGGTGGGGGTGGGAGCGGCTCCCTGGGTGCCTGTTGCTCCTCCCAGCCTTGCCAGTGGCTGCCAGCTGATGGGGGTAGCACCAGGGTACTGTGAGCTGGAGCAATGTGAAAGGGACTTACTCAGCACCAGCATGAGCCAGAGGAGGCTGGGACCGGCTGCTGGTATGTCCCAGGTCATCCTTGTACGGGGCCATGGCCCACCCCAAACTCCCCAGGAAGCTGGCTGCACCTGTGTGTGGGGTTTCCTACCGTGTATCTTCCCCTCTTTCCATTCTCCTTCATATCGAAAGAAAGAATTTGGGTATACGTAGACACCATAACCTGAACATTGAGAAGAAAAAGAGCATAAGTGACGACCTGGCACTAAGACTGTGATATTAGCAGACACCTGAAGGTGGACAGCTCTGGGCTCTGGAGGAGGTGTCTGTACGCTGTTGGCCTTTCAAGGAGTCTGTCCACTTCGCCTGGGTTAACTGCTGAAAGGCTGTGTGAGGTTCAGCTTCCTGCTTACTATGGACCGACCATGGATCCTTAGTGTGGAGAAGACAGGACATGGAGAGCAGGGCCAGGGCCAAACAAGCGGGCCCTAGGGAGTCCCCATGTCTCAGGGGTGTTGGTGGGGGTTGGGAAGGACTGACCTGGCTAGCCGGGGGAAGGCAGGAAGGTAGGGATGCAGTGTGAGAGCACAGAGGCCCTTCTGGGACCTTCAGTGGTCCGGACAAAATCCGGACTTACACCGAAGGAGGCCTGGCCAGCCTCCTCTCTGTCCATTCAGCTTTGGGCACCATCCCCACTCCCAACTCTGGGTGGAGCGCCCGCCGCCCGCCCAGGCAGGGGCGAACCCCCAGCTCTGGCTGTGCTCTGGTCTCCGGCCAGTTTCCACCTCACGACCCGCGCAGACTCTGGGTTCAAGCTGGTCTTGCTTCTCCCGGCTTGGGGTCAACCCCTATTAGAGTCTGCATCTCGCGGCCTACGTTTCCAGGGCCCCGCGTCGGGTGGGAGGTGGGGGGCCTTGCGCGCCCGCCCGGCTCGGCCTCGGCTGCGCGGCGCCCACCGGTGCAGCCCCGCCGCCCGCGAGCCCACAGCTTCGCCACCCTGGTGTCTGGGCGGCTGGCAGCGGGTTCAGACCCTGGCAGCCGCGAGCTCCGGGGCTCTTGGGCCTCGTCCTCGCAGAGGGGGTATGCTCCCGACGCGGCGCGGTCCGTACCGTTCCGTGGAGGCCGCCCGGGAGGATCCCGTTGCTGAGGGAGCGAAGCCGGGCTGCTCTCGTTGGACGCCGCCATCTTGCTGCCAGAGCTTCACTAGCAACCAGCCACGCCGTCTGCCATTGGCCTCGGGTCGTTAGGGGGCGTGGCCTCGGCCAGTCCGGGCTATAGAAATCTCCGGAGCGGAACATTCGGACCGGAGCCCGCGGACGCCACTGCGCCTGTGCAGCGCGGCGACTTCCGCCAGCCCGCTCCTTCCGCCGAGGGAACCGCTCGCCAACGGCCGCGGTGTCCGCACCGGAAGCGGAAATGGTTGGAGCTCCTGGCCCCGCCCCGCGGCCATCTTGGAGGCCGGAGGCGGCGCCGCAGGACGGAGCGGAAGTTCCCGTGCAGCTTCCCGGAGCCCGAGTGAGCGCCGGCGGCAGTCCTGCCCGCCGTCCTCCTTCTGCGGCCGTGAGGGAGACCGCGGCTCGGCCGCAGCGGAGCTGCGAGGTGCCGGGGGTGGGCTGGTGGCGCGGGGCGGCCGGGCGGCGCCGCCTCCGCCTCCCTCGGGCTGTCAAGGCTGCGGGCGGGCGGGGCCAGGGAGGGTCAGCCGGGCCGAGCGGGGACTGGCCGAGCCCCGGGAGGACCCGCGCAGAGACCGGCCGAACCCCGGGAGGAGTCGCGCGGAGACTGGCCGAGCCCCAGGAGGGACCGCGCGGAGACTGGCCGAGTCCCGGGAGGAGCTGACCGAGCCCCAGGGAGGGACCCGCGCGGAGACTGGCCGACCCCGGGAGCGGGCCGCGGTCCTGCCCTCCTCGGCCGCTTCTTTTCCCCCACTGGGAGGGGCTTCTGGGGAGAGTGGCCTGTCGCCGCCCGCACAGTTGGAGTTGGGATGGTTTGTGGCGGGTGACCGCTTCCCCAGTACCTGTTCGCGCGAGGCAGAAGACGGTGCTGAAGGGGCTCAGGGAAGCCCTGTGTCGGCCAGGAGCGTTTGGTGGTAGTGGTTGGGGCTGAGCGTGAGGGCTTGAGTCCTGCAGGTGACTGCCCGTCGGTGTCCTCTGATGGAGTCAGTGTTTGCTTCCTAGGCAGGGTCTTAGAGTCCAGAGGGCTGCCTTCTTCCCGAGAACATTCAGTGGCACTTGTTCCTTTTCAGAGGGGAGGCTGGCTATTTGTCCTGGCACTGCTCAGTTTTAATTGGGTTGACTTTCCATTTCGTGGTAAAATGGAATTTTCCCATAAGTGAGTAAAGTGTCCTCAGTAATTGAGACTGAGCCAGTGCCCGTCATGATGTTAACAGGTGACTGGAGTGCAGGTAGGGGTATAAAGGCCAGATGGGATCTAGGTGCCCAGCCTGGAACGCGGCCTTGGAATAACCAAGAGTAGGGACAAGAAGAGTATTCCAGGGAGAGAATAGCACAGGGGCTCGCATGGTGCCTGGAGTCAGTGACCATTTCTTGTCCAGGAGGAATTGACCCCAGAGGCTAGGCAGAGGGCTTCTTTCTGTGCAGTTCCTAGTTTAGGAGTGATGGATCATAGAAACTAGCCAACTAATGGGTTCTAGAACAAGGCACATGGAGAACATTCTCTACAGTTTCTGGTGGGTACTTAGTTGTCTCTCCCTGGAATGGTTTTTGTCTCGTTTTTTTTTGAGTGTAAAGCAATTACATTGAACAGGTAATTGGTTGACTTTCTTTTATGTAATGGGCACTTCCAGGTGGTAAGGCCCTGCTGTGACCCAGACAGGGGCCTCCTCAGGAGCTTGCACTGTAGTGGGAGGAGATTGAAAAATAAACTAAAAGGCATCAGAAACAATTGCTGCACAAAATAAAAACATTAGGGACTGGTGGTCAGTTTGGACAACAGTCAGGGCTCTCTGAGGAGGAGGTGACCTTTACACTGAGCAGAAGGAAGAGAATTGCAGACAGAACAGCTGGTGTGAGGGCTGCCCTAATCCAGGAACTAGTCTGACGTGTTTGCGGGGCTGGCACACGGATGGTGCCAGGCTTGCAGGCTCTCCATGCGCTGCCACGAGCTCCTTGGGAAGCCTGGGCATAGGGTGCCACAAGTGCTGTGACCATCCTGCAGATCCAGCCCCACACATTCTTCGGTGGCTCAGTCAGGTCCTGCTGCTGGGAAGTGCAGTGCTGGTTGTACTCCAAAGTTCACATTCTTGATCATGTTACAGTGCCACTCGCATGTCATTGGCAGCAGGTTCAGTTGAGATGTGGAGTCATGGCTGAGGTGCAGCTCAGTGGCAGAGAACTTGCCTAGCACGTGTGGGGCCCTGGCTCCATCCCCAGCACAGGAAAAAAAGGTGTAAAGTCATGTTTTCATATGTATGTTTGTTAGATAATCAGTTTGTGACTAATGCATGTTTTAGTGAGTTTTTCACATCAGCCTGTAGAGTAAAAAGTTTTAAGTAGTTAGCTTCTAGTACATACTTTAATGGGATAGCCAGGTATTTTGTTTCTAATATTACTTTTGGCACTTCAATTCACACAAAAGTGTTTTTTCAGTAAACAATTGGTTAGAGTAAAATGAGGAAAAGTTTGAAAGCTCTACATGATGAAGACTATGAGTGAAGTAGCTTTCTGCAGGCTGGGCTTTGGTGTAAGGAGGGTGGTCAGTCTAGATGTGCATGTACTGTAGCTTTTATTTAAACTGGGAACCCCTCTGGTGAAGTGTAAAGATGCTCTTCCCAGAAGGGATCGGGAGGACTTGGGAGCCATAATGAGCTTTTAGTTAAATTGTGTGTCTTTGGTTTACAAGTCTCTCCTGACTAAAGGGCATTTCTTAGACAGCTCTGGCACTGTGCTCTTGGGTCCTGGAAATGCTTACATGCTAAAGACTGGACACTGTGGCCTATTCAGCTGCAAGCCTGTGTTTAAGTTGTGATTAGAAAGCTGTCCACTCAAGACCTAGGGACTCATCAGGTGGCTTGTTGACTTCCACTTCAGAAGGAGGGTTTTCCCAGTGCTCACAGTGAAGATGTGGTTAGAAGGTTTTGGACTTAGGCAGGTGTGGGTTCTGGTTCCAGCCCCATTGCACATGGCTGATTGCTGGGGACAGCACCCTGGCCTTTGTGAGCCTGTTCTCTCTTCTGTGATTGGGAGCAGTAACAGTAACCTCAAGGCTTGCTGTGGAATGAAGATTGTCCTTGTGTCTGGTGCTTAATAGGGCTTCATTTTGCAGATGGGAAACGGGCTGGCTAAGTGGCCAGGGGGTCTGTTGAGGACCTTTTCTGCTCAACATAAGTGGAACTTAAGCCTGACAGTGGAATCTGTTTGTCCTCTTCACTGTCATGATAGTTGCAGAGGGAGTTGGGCAGTTGTCACCCACAGATTTGGGTGGGGGGTGAGCCCTGCCTTCCCTATCTCAGGGCCCACAAGTGCTTTGTCTTTAAAGTGGGAGGGTCCCAGTTATTTAGCAGTGTCTCTTGAAGAGTGGTGGACCTCTGAGTCCATGCTCAGGAACCAGGTGTAAGGCTGGGCTCTAGGCCTGCTCAGGAGCAGAGTTGTGGCATGACCTTGGACTTCTTTGTGAAATGTGGATAATGATGCCCCTTCTCTCAGCCATGTGGGAATTAAGTGGGACAATGTGAGGACCTGGGTTTTGGCACCTGGGTTCTCAACAGGTGAATTCTGCCTGGGATCACAACAGCATGTCAAGAGTCATGAGCAGATAGGATTACTTCCAGTTTTCAGATAAGAAACTGGGACACGGATAGATGGGCTACCTGTGAGTCCTGGATGACATCTTTGAGTTGATGGAGGATAAACCCAGGACAGGCCATAGAGAAGACAGGGTGCTTGCGGGAGGCTGGGGATCCTAGAGGAAGAAGTACCTGGAGGGTACTTCCTGTGGACTCACCAGGAGACTCCAAGCTCAACAGGTTAGGGTGGACAGCACTCCTGGAGAGAGAAGGGTTGGGGAGAGAGATTGTGGTGCTTGCAGTAGAAAACAGTTCTCCAGTGCTGCTCAGCACATCAGCTTGCTCTGTCCTTTTCTCCACCAGAGCTTGTCACCTACTTGTTTCTTTGTCCCGTATAATTCAGTGTAAAAACACAAAGAAGTGGTTTGGATGAAATACTGAGTATGGGAAAACCTTGACAGATTGGTCAAAAATTTTCAAATCTTTGACTGCTTTTTATTTGATTTAATAGTATTTTGTGTTTTTCTAGTTACAGAATGTCTGAAGGGGACAGTGTTGGAGATTCAGTCCATGGGAAGCCATCAGTGGTGTACAGATTTTTCACACGACTCGGACAGGTTGGTGCATTTGTAGATCAGTGTAAATATTTGGAAGAGAAGTTTTGGCTCCTGACACATCCTCAAGCGTGTGAGTTTGCTGCATTGCTGAGGAGAGCTAAGCACTAGCTGGCCCTACCTGACACTGTGCTCTATGCTGGGCTCTGCTCTCCTGTGAACTCTTGCTTGCATGTTTTCCAGAAAGGCCTGGTAGAGGAGAGTCCACGTGCTGGTTGGGGGCCACATGTGGTCTTGGCCACATTGGCCACATGTATGTGTTTTTTTTGTTTTTTTTTTTTTGTGGTGCTGGGGATGGAGCTGGGGCCTTGTGCATGTGAGGCAGGTGCTCTAGCCCTGAGCTACACTCCCAGCCCTTTTTAATTTTCTTTTTAGCAACTTTTAAAAATGCTCTGCAGATATGGCTGGTGGCCTTTGCTGTGCTCTTGCTGGTCCTCTTCTGCCACCCACATCTAGTTTTCCCTGCAGGCCTCACCTTCTTGGCCTGCGCATGGCTATTGGGTGCTGCGTCCTTAGCACTGGCCTAGGTGGATGTGGGCCACCATGCTGTGGCTGTCTGGGCTGCTTGGTGGAGTGGTGGGGTTGGAGCTATTGGAACACTTCGTGCTTGAACTTGAGTGTAGAAGTCTAATTCAGTGAACACTTTTTTTTTTTTTATTTTAAATATTTTATTTTTTAGTTTTTGGCGGATACAACATCGTTGTTTGTATGTGGTGCTGAGGATTGAACCCGGGTCGCACGCATGCCAGGCGAGCGCGCTACCGCTTGAGCCACATCCCCAGCCCCTAGTGAACACTTTTTGATGCTGATTCTTTTAACTCAATAAAAAATTTACCAACTTTTTTTTTTTTTTTGGTACTGGGGATTGAACCCAGGGGCACTCACTGAGCCACATTCCCAGGCCTTTTTTGTATTTTATTTAGAGACAGGGTCTCATTGAGTTGCTTAGGGTCTTGCTAAGTTGCTGAGGCTGGCAGTGAACTCGAGATCCTGCCTTAGCCTACTGAGCTGCTGGAATTACAGGCATGTACCACCACTCCTGACAAATTTATCAACTTTTAAAGTAGTATACGGCAAACTATTTAATTAATGAATCTGGGTGATGAATGTGCGTGGTCTCATTTTATGATTCTTTGAAAATTTTCACAATTTAAATTTTAAAATTAAAATAAACGTGTATGTGTATGAAAAATGAAGAGCTCCCTTAGTAACGTCCACAGCTGCCTTGGTGCACATCACATGTGAGCTCTGGCTGCTGTGGTCAGGCTGTGGCTGGCCCCTTGTGAGTGAAGGCAGGACCAACCTGGGGTTGCTGGACCAGTGGGAGATTCCAGTACCTTAGGAGACGCCCATGGGAGGAGCAGGCTTTGGGTCAGGACTTGGGTTGTGAAACCTGTTGTATGGGATGGTGACTTCAAGATGGGTGCCTTCTCCTTTTCAGTTGATGTCCTTTTAATTGGGGTGAAATTGGTCTCACCCATAATGAAATCTTTGTGCTAATGCTGCAGTACTATCTTCTAATTTTGGTTGTTTTATAGTATTTTTGTTGAGGAGGTGAACCACTTTAGGAATTATTGTAAATTTTGAATTGTCACTGCTTTGTGCTGACATGTATATTTATTGATGTTTTAATGAACGCTTTTGAAAAAATTTTTTTAAAATATTTATTTTTTAGTGTAGATGGACACAGCACAATGCCTTTGTTTTTATGTGGTGCTGAGGATCGAACCTGGCTTCCGCCCGTGCTAGGCGAGCGCTTTACCGCTGAGCCACAATCCTAGCCCCTCTTTTGAAAATTTAAAACTAATTCTAGCTGGGTATGATGTCATGTGCCTGTAATCCCATATTTTGGGGAGGATCACAAGTTTGAGGCCAATTTAGTGAGACTCTGTCTCAAAGTAAAATTTGAAACAAGGGCTGGGGATGTAACTCAGTTACAGAGCACTGGCCTAGCATGTGTGAGGACCTGGGTTCCTTTTTCAGTATAGCCAAAAGTAAAAACAACTATAGTGAGAAGTACACTTTGTAGCAAAGTTGTTGTGAGAGTTCCAGGGTGGACCTAATGCTGTTTAACCCTTGTCTCTTTAGATTTATCAGTCCTGGCTGGACAAGTCCACACCTTACACGGCTGTGCGGTGGGTGGTGACACTGGGCTTGAGCTTTGTCTACATGATTAGAGTTTACCTGCTACAGGTAGGTATGGACTCTTATATCGGATGTGGTGTTGGTTGGGACACTGGTGATCCAGTATCGAGAAGGAAACAATCTATAATAAGCACTTTTCAGTTCAGCACCAATGTACGAAGAATTTCAGTGACTGTCTTAATTTTTAAAGAGGATTGTTTATGATTCACCTTGCTTGTCTCATTCTGTAGCTTGAGTTCCCAGTGCACAGGCCAGTCTTGACCTCTGCCTGTGTTCTGCCCTTGAGTGACCTGCTGTGGATCATGGGCTTTCTCATCCCCTTATCCTGTCATCCCCCCCCCCCGCCACCCCGCCTGAACCTCAGGCACAGATAACGTTCTGTGGCAGATACCTCATTTGTCGGTGAAGACGTGGGCATTTACAGGTTTTAGCTGTTTGATGATGCCTTTTATGAGGCCGAAGAGCCGAGTGAGTTCGCTGTGGTCTGTGGAGTGAGTGGTGTGGCAGCCTGAGGCAGGTCTGCTCATGCCTGGGCTGCCAGTGGACAACCCCAGGGCAGGTGCAGCCACTTGTTGTTCCCTAATGAGCACCTGTCCCAAGGACTCCTTGCACACCTGGAGAGGAGACTGTTTCTTATTTGTAGGCTTGGAGGTTGCACAGGTTAAAAGCCTTTTCTCCACAGTTCCAGAAGAGATGTCCTCATTTAAAGCATCCCTTCCTTCCTGCTACCTTCTCGGACTTGGGAGGTTGTCAGCCCATGGATGGACAGGTTTATTGGACTCAACCATGTGTCTGGAGCTATGTGAAATTCTCAAATTAAGTATAAGCTGGGTGTGATCCCAGTGACTCAGGAGGCAGAGGCAGGAGGATCTAATCTTGAGGCCAGCCTCAGCAACTTAATGAGGCCATGTCTCAAAAAGTAAAAAGGACTAGTGGTATGGCTCAGTGGTGCAGCAGCCTAGGTTCATTCTCCAGTACCAAGAAAACAAAACACCAGGCTGTCTCAGTGGTAGAGTGTTCACCTGGCACGCACGAGCACTGGGTTCAATCCTCAGCACCACATAAATGTAAAATAAAGATATTGTGCCCACCTAAAACTAATAAATAAATGTTTAAAAAAAAAAAAAAGATAACAAACATTGAATGTAGAGCTTGAGTTTTGTTCTCGTTCATCGTTTGTTCCTGTGAGTGAACCAACTTGGATTGGTATGAAGGTGGTGGCATTTCTTATATATCATAGCAGAACCCAGTCTGTACAGAATGTCTGGAATTGGTGTTGATTTTTAAAAAATTGGAACTTGGCCCATTCACTAATGGAAAGACTGGCCCAGCAGCCTTGAGTTAGGGGTGTGGTGGTGGTGCGGGGGCGGGGGGCAGCACACAAAGGTTAGTTCCACTCTGTTCGGAGCCAGATTTGTGTCTGATCTGGTGGCCCTCAAGGCTTGGCCCTACATGTGGTTATACTTTGCATTAAGGGGATTTTTCATATCTACTTTGTAGTTGTCTGATTTAAAACTTTTCTGCAGAAAGATTTCCTCTTGTTTATGAAAAAGTGCAGGCTTTACAGTTTCAGACATTTGGATTTTCTAAAGTTTTTTTTTTTTTTTTTTGAGAGAGAGAGAGAATTTTTTAATATTTTTAGTTTTCGGCAAATACAACATCTTTGTTTGTATGTGGTGCTGAGGATCGAACCCGGGCCGCACGCATGCCAGGCAAGCGTGCTACCGCTTGAGCCACATCCCCAGCCCTAAGAAGTTCAGGCTTTGAAGACTGAGAATACAGTTATAGTATTCAACAGGAGGAGCTTGGTGCTTCAGTGTGTTGCACGTAGGGCCTGCCATAGGTTCTCAGTTCTTGGCATCTCTAAGGAAGGCTTGGCTCAGAAATTTCTGTAACCCTCGTCCTCAACAGATGTCCTCATGTTCTGGTCCTGGGAACCTGCAGGCAGGCACTACTTATCCATCAGAGGAGCACCAGCCACCTTGTCTTTGCTACCAGCTGAGATTATGTCTTGGGTCTCATGTGAATCTGCTCCCTGCGGGGCTTATGGCCAGGAGTGCAGGCCAGCGTCCCCTGGGGTGTCAGGCCACACCCCAGCCCCATGGTGTACGGCAGGCCTGTGATTTTTGAGGAAAGCCTCCTTTTCTGTTGCACTTCTGGTTGGGAACCCTTGGCTGCAGGTGTCACGTGCATCTAGTGGGATACTTGAAGGAGTTTGCTGCCTGGACCCTGGGTCATCATATTAGTCTCAAGACCCACAGAGTAATTTGAGGTAAATGGTCACCATGGACATTTCCATTGTCACTTAAGCTGGCGTCTCTTGCTGTTTCCAGGTTAGTCCAGGTTAAGGGGCACAGGCATAGTGAAGCACTTCGGGCTGCGCGGGTGGGCTGCTCACTAACGCTGTGCTTCCTTCTCTTCCAGGGTTGGTACATCGTGACCTACGCCCTGGGAATCTACCATCTAAATCTTTTCATAGCGTTCCTTTCTCCCAAAGTGGACCCTTCCTTAATGGAAGACTCAGGTAAAGCAGAGGCCATCCACAGTGCTGTGTGGGCAGTGGGTGCCTCTGTGCCTTCCTGGGGAGGCCGCTTGCACTCCAGGGACGCGCAGGGCTGTGCTCCAGGTGCTTGCACGTACCTGTGGTAGCCGGGCTAGCATGAGCACTCTCAGCCTTCCTACAGCCTTGTCGGGGTGTTCACTGATGTCCCCATTTTATGGATGAGGAGACTGAGGCATGTGGGGTTATCTGGCAGAGAAGGGGACCAATGGAAGAGGCGCTGAGCCTGCCTCTAGGTTTCCACCTTCTATAGGCAGCCCATCCTGGCCCTGCCGTAGGACTTACCATTTGGCTTCTCAGGTGACCAGAGGTTTACAGGGCTCTCTGCTAGGATCAGCACAGACCACTAGACCCTGACTGCTGGTGGCCAGTCTGGGGTGAGGTGGCAAGCACTCCCTGGTTTCTGAGAAAGTGAAATGTGCTTGGCATGTTTGTGTCATGTCTGCGAGGTTCCTGCTGTTCCTGCCCTGCCTGGGCCAGGGAGGGGCTGGGGGCACAGACGATGTGTGATTCTGTCAGGGCACACTGGCTGCCTGGGCCCCAGGGTCCTCTGTTGTGGGAGGTGCTCCAGAGTGGGGTTTGAGTTGGAGATCAGAAGTCTGTGGTTTTTCTTTATAGAATAATTAATGAAAACACTAAAGGAAGTACAGCCCCTTCCGTTTAATTGCTATCTGAAGGAGACTAGAGAAGACCCTTTCCTGGGGCCTCAGTTTCTCTCTCTGTAAACGAGGTGCGGTGGATGAGCAGAGCATGGCCCGCAGCAGCTCACCGCAGTCCCACAGTGTTCTTGTGGGCAAGGACACAGCCTGCCTGCATTCTTTACTGCTTGTTTTGTGTAAATGTAATTCTTCCTTGGTTTTTTTTTTTTTTTTTTGGTACTAGGGATGGAACATGCCAGGCAAGCATTCTGCCACTGAGCTCCATCCCCAGTCCCTTTGTTTTCTTGATGTCATACAATTGATGAAAAATCTGTGTGTAATTGAATTCTTTTTATGCATACAAAATGTGTAGAAGTCTTTCAAAAGAAAGTCTAAATTGAATCTTTTAAAGCATTGAATTGATTTGTAAATTGGCAGTAGACCCCCATTTTATCTTTGGCTAAATAATGTAAATCTATTTCCGAATGTGAGGCCTGCTAATTAAAACTTTTAGGGAAAGCTTCTGAATGTAGTGATAGAAATAAAAAGATGAGAGGCAAGTGCTATATCTCAGATTGGTAACCTGCCTTTCAGATGATGGCCCTTCCTTACCAACCAAACAGAATGAGGAATTTCGCCCCTTCATTCGAAGGCTTCCAGAGTTTAAATTTTGGTGAGCTATTTTTTTTTTTCCTATTAAACTTTTTAAGCTGTATTTGTATTTGACATGTGGTGACTGTGTGCTTACGGGGTACAGTGTGGCATGTCAGTGCATGTGTACAACGTGTACCTGTCAGATCAGGAAGCTGGCACGTCCATTACTGTAGGTATTTGCCACGTCTTTGTGTTGGGAACAGTCACGATCCTGTTAGCTGCTGTGAAGCATGCAGTGAACTGTCCCCCATAGATGCCCTCCTGTGCTGTGCCACACCTGACTGCACCTCTGACTCTGAAAGGTGTCTGTCTGGCCTGTGCGTGAGTGTGGCTGAGGAGACTGAGAAGAGTCAGTTTGTTCTAGTCAGCCACCAGTTAAGACTTCTTAAAGGAGTGGGTTTGGTGTGCTTCATTTTTTTGCAATGTTCATTCACCCAAAATGTGTTGGCTGGGTGGGTGTGGGGCAGACTGCCACCTTGTGATGTCTGGAGCTGGCAGGCATGAGGCTTGTTCTGAGAGGTAGGGAGCTGCTCTCTTGCATGCTTGAGCCTCAGAAGGGCAGGTCAAGGCAGCTGACCTCTGGGCCCTGTGGCCTCCCATGGCCAGTAGAGTTGGACTAATTTTCTCCCTGCCTAATTCTTTTTTGTTTTAAATTTATTTTGTAGTTATAGTTCGACAGAATGCCTTTATCTTATTTGTTTTTATGTGGTGCTAAGGATAGAACCCAGTGCCTCACATGTGCTAGGCAAGCGCTCTGCCACTGAGCCCCAGCCCCTGCCTAGTTCCTGAGAGGGGTGACCATGTTGGTGATGGGTCTGGGCCTACCCTCAGGGGCTGGTCCCTGTGTACACTAGGTCCCATGTAGCTAGAAGGAGGCAAGGAGGAGTGTGATGCAGGGACATGGGGTTGGACCCAGCTCCTCATATACCCCTTTGCCGGAGGGTCGGGAGCTCTGTGACTCGCCCTCTGTCCTGTTTCTGGGACCCCTGTTCTGGGACCCAGGAGGAACTGAAGTCTTTGTTGGGTCACTAAATTGAACCAACTGGGTTCCTCCAGCTACAGGCACTAATCCTGCAGCCCTGGCACTGGGCATGGGACACAGTGTGAGGTGCTGGAGTGTGGGGCAGTTGGGGAGAGGGAGTGCAGGGCCGGGGATCATGGGCCCTGGAAGCAGGGAGTGTGGAATCTGTTGGAAGTGAGGGCATCACATGCTGGGACCTTGGAATCAGACAGCAGGCCTGGGCAGCACACAGGTGCATTGGCTTCAGCTTGGCATGTTGTACTTTGTGTAGGTTTAAGGCTTTTTCAGCTTGAGGGACTGAAAGGATGACGCGGTTAAGGCTCAGGGTAGTGTGCACACACAGTTAATTCACACAGTGCCACAGGTTGCCACGTAGGCTCCACTCCCCGTGGTGCTCATTTGTGGGTGAAGACAGGGAAAACTGGAGGCTAGAGGGGGCTGGCAGTTGCCAGATTCTGGCCACAGGTAGCACTGCTAACTTCTTTCCTCATGTCAAGGCATGCGGCCACGAAGGGCATCCTGGTGGCAATGGTCTGCACCTTCTTCGAGGCTTTCAATGTCCCGGTGTTCTGGCCGATCCTGGTGATGTACTTCATCATGCTTTTCTGTATCACAATGAAGAGGCAAATAAAGGTAAAGACTTCAGCGCTGCTGTGCTCTGTCCTGTCACTGCCCTGGGAGAGCTGTGCCCAGGTCTCTGCTGTGCAGCAGGAGGTAGGGCCTGCTAGGAGTGGCCAGCACTGCCTAGTGCATGGTGAGGACCCCGTGCTCCCCATCGTGGAGGCAGTGTGCACAAATCTGCAGATCTCCACGTGGGAACCAGCGGGCCCTTGGGCAGCTGGCTGGGAGCTGGGGAGAAAGTGCCAGGTTGTGCCAGGTCATTCCTGGGCCTGCAGGGTCTCAGTGGCTCTTCGTAATTTAAAACTCAGGGCTCTGCAGGCGGGGTGGTGTTGCCACCCCCTCCCCTCCCACACAGGGCTCACCAAACATTCCCTGAAAGTCGGGATTTCAGGTACGGCTCGGACAGGTCAGCTGGGCTTTGGCAGTTTTCATGACTTGTGACTTGTAGAGAAGACTGAGGGGCACCTTTGGCTGTTGAGATTAGGGGAAGTGTGGCCCCTCGGGGGACAGTTGTGAAGTAACTCAAGCTTGTTTGTGTTTGTTTTCCCAGCACATGATTAAATACCGGTACATACCATTCACACATGGAAAGAGGAGATACAAAGGGAAGGAGGACGTGGGCAAGACGTTTGCTAGTTAGAAGCTGGACTGAATCTGGCACACGTGTTCAAGACGGTTTTGAGCCATTGTAACAATGCCTTTTTCTTCACATAAAGTAGTTGATTACAAGGGATTTGAATTTTCTTTTTAAAAAGGAGCCTCAATGATTTGTAACTGAAATACAGGTTCTTGAAGAAACTGGCATTTAAACCAGATTGCATTGATTTCTATTTCAGTGGTGTCCACATGTTTCAAAGGACGGCATTGTATTAACCGCAGGCTCAAGAGGCCAGGCGGGCAGCAGCCGCAGGAGCAAGGGGTGGGAGGGAGGACAGGAGAGAGGCTACAAGAGGAGCTGGCTGCTCTGCGTGGGGCTGTTTCCCAGCCACGGTGAGACCGGAGGGACCATGCCAACCCGATTCCTGCGTGCCAGAGAACGTAATGCTGCACAGGTGATTGATTTCAAGTAACTCTGGGGTTCTCATGCCAGTTTCCAAACCTCACCTCCCTGGAGGTGTTTTCAAGCTGGCCTCTATCACGATGACTCAAAACTTTGTTCTTAACTACCATGATTGCTTCTGAGGGCCTGGAATTATAAACATATTATATTTTAATTGTTTGAGATTATTTTGACACATTTCTTTGATACGTATGAAGAGTTTGTTTTGCTTTTGACTAAATGTTTTCAGCCCCTGTAAGGAAACACCAAAACTGGTCAGAGCAGGCCAGGTTTGTGAGTTTAACATAACAGCTTTTCATTTTCTACAAGGGAAATAGAACCTACCGCATGTCAACTTTTTTAATATGATAAAAAAAAATACTCTTAAACATTTTACTAAGTGACTTTTTAATTCCAGTTTTATTAAAGACAGTGTCCTTTGCTTGCATAGTCTATACCTAAAGCACTAGTCCTTGCACCAAGGCCCAGCTTGCTCTCAGCTGCCCCGGGAGGGGAACAGTCTTTGACAATAGCCAAGAGACACCCCTGCAGGGGGCACAAGTGCTCTGGCCCTCTGGTGCCTTGGCAGCAGGGCTTCCCATGCACACACAGGGTTTCAGACACTGAGCCAATGGTCTGGACGTCTTTTGTTGACTTCTGATCTCAAGTTGAGCTCCTCTGAGAGGTCATATATAAGTCCTTCTGTGTACCTGAAAGTTCACTTTTTGTATGTGTGTGTGGTTCTGGGGATTGAATCCAGGGCCTTGAGCCTTGTTAAGCAAGTGATGTACCTGAGCCACACCCTCCAAGATCCCTGTAAATTTTTTTTCTCTCTGCCGCACAGTCTAAGTTGCCAAGGCTGACGTCAGACTTTCCTCTTGCCTCAGCCTCCCTAGTAGCTGGCAGTACAGGCAGCACCTGGGATTGTCAAACTCTGCCTGTGATGGGAACTCAGTGTGCATCTGTCCAGGGCTGAGCATGGTTGTGCAGAGCTGTGCTCCAGGCTCCCTGCAGGGGCTGTGGAGGCTTCTGCTGCCCAACAGCCCTGGAGCCATCCCCAGAGCTCCTCCCAGACTAGGGCAGGCAGTTGCCTGTTGCTGTTCGCTGGCCCTGCTCACTAGGAACAGCTGCACAGCAAAGCCAGTGTTGCTGGCTGGCCTCAGCCCCACATTCCACACAACCCAGAGGTCCTGCCAGGGGCAGCTCCACACATTTTATGAGATTCTTCCAGGTCAATCCTTTGTTCTCCATGGACCCACATTTCTGTGGAATTAGTTTCTTAAAAGTTGCAAGTTGTCTCTGGCACCAGTTAAGTTTGAAAACCTGGAAATATCAAATAGAGGCAGGAAGCAGGCTGGGGACACGCTGAGGGGGCTGCCACAGCATGACCTTGGGTAAGCAGCGTGCTTGCCCACCTGGGCCTTTGGGGGAGGGCACTGGCTCACCTAGGCTCCCCAGAGGAGCCTAAGAGCAGAAGCAAGTTAAGATGTGAAGAAAACAACAGGAAATTTCACTCAAGCTGGCTCTGCCCCTGCAGTTGGGGAGACCCCTTCCCATTTGTGCTAAAGCCAAAAATGGGAAATGCCATGAATTAAAAATATGTGCCAAATATTTAGTCAGAGGTACTGACCTTTGGTTACTGTGTGGTCTTGACACCCAGTCCTATAGATGGGCTTACCTGGCCTGGATGCTGGGGGCCTCTCTGACCACCCAGCTGGAGCACACTGCCCCCTCCCCACTCGATGCTCAGCTCCTACCTCCTGAGAGTCCTCTGCTCAACAGAGTGAATAAAATTCTTTCTGGACAACTTTTGAAATTAGTTCTCAACTGTGTGGCTGGGGGAGGGAGGGAATCCTGAGACCTTGTCCAAACGAGGGACCTCTGAAGAAGCCCTCAGCTGAGCCAAACCTGGGGCTTTGGCTCCTCCCTTGGTGGGCCACAGCCACCTGCCAAAGCAGCCCTTATAGTGCCAGGCTGGTCATCCTCGTCAGCACCAGCTTTTTGTCCTCTAGCCTGGTGGTGGGAGTCGTAGCTTTATGTGGCAACACAGTGCAAAGGGTTCTATGATTTCTGTACAACTAAGTGAATCTCGAGAATAAGCTTCTTGAGGTTCCTCCATCCACTTTCCGGGGTGTTTGGTGACAGTCAGCGGTAGTGCCTCAGGTAGACCAGTTTCTGGGGAGGGAACTTCTCCCTGCAGAGGGGACACTGCGCCTGTGGGGGATGGCAGGGTCACTGACAACACACGGGCTGACCCTTCCTGCTGAACCCATGATCTGCAGCTCAGGACCATGGAACAGCCTTCCCCAGTTCTGACAGGGTGGTGGTGCTAGGCATGGTCAGTTCTGGCCCACAGCAGCTGTGCCCCTGGACACTCAGGGTACCACACAAGGGGCTCCTCATTCACCCTCAGCACCTACGGACCACTGGTGCTGGGGACCTTCCTGTTGGGCTTATTCTGCTGCCCGAGCTTCACTGTATCTGCCCAGCAGTGCTTGGGCAGGCAGCTGTGGAGGGCTTCAGGCTTCGTCAGGAAGACAGATGTTGGGCCACATGAACTGCTCTGAACCCTTTCTTTTAGGTCTTCCCACCAGATCCCATTCTGGACGCACCCTGGTCCTACCCGCTGGGACAGGGCTCCCTCTGCACTGCTGTGCAAGAGTTCCACAGGGTACACTGGGCTCTCAGAAACGCCCATCCCACTGGCATTACTGAGTCTCTTGGGCGTGTTTCCAGAAGAATGAGTTCTCCTGTCCTTGTCCTGCTCCATGATGTTCAGGGCGCCCTCCCTAAGAGCTCTCTGGCTAGAGCCACTCTGTAGTCCCTCCTGGCAAGGGAAGTGCCCAGCTGCCTAGGGGATGCAGCATGTGCACTTTGCCACTCGGCACCTGTCCTGCTGGAAATGGAGTCCAGTGTGGGCACAAGGATGGTGGGTGCAGCCTGGCAGGGCAGGGTGAGGGCAGTATGGTCTGGGCCTTGTGCTCACCACATGCCTTCTGCCCAAGGTCTCAGCCAAGACTGGGCAGGTGAACACATGGACTTCTACCTAAACACGGCTCCACACCTAACTGACCTGGGCACTTTTAGAAGAGGCCACCCTCCACCCCAGACAGAGGGACGTTTAGAAGGGCTCGGGCTGGCCACACACCTTGGTGCTGCACCACTCAGTGATGCACTCCCAGCAGAAAAGGTGGCCACAGGGAGTGGCTGTCGCATGCCTGCGCTCCTCCAGGCACAGGGTGCACAGTGGTGCGCGGGAAACGGCTCTGTCTTCCAGGGAGCTCCTGGGGAGGGCAGGGCAGTCAAGGTCAGAGTGCTGTCCAGTTCTTGCAGTATGCTCAAGCACCCCAATAGCCCTTGCGCACCTGCGGTGGGACAGATTGCGGTGCAGCCTCCACTCCTTCCTGGCTCTCCGCCTCTGCCTGAAGCCGTACAGCTGCAGCCCCACGGAGAGTGCCAGGTGCAGCAGGGAGACGAGCCCCAGCAGCCGGTAGCTTGCGCGAGCCCGTGGGTCCTCTCCTGACAGGTGGTGGATCCGCAGCTGTCAAGGTAGGTGGCCCCAGAGCCATCAGCACCCTGAAGGGGACCTGGCTCCAAATCTGCGAGAGAGCCCCTGTTCTGTCAGGCCCAGGCCTCCCAGGGTGCTGGGAGTGCCCAAAGAATGAGACCAGGCCTGGGGGTGGGTTTGGGGAGACTCAGGAAGAGGCCCTAGGCTGGAGACTGACTGCTGGCCATCCTCAGCATAATTGGGGTGAGCCTGAGGCTGGACAGGACAGGGGAGTGGGTGAAGATTCTGCGGTCATCCAGTAACTGCCTTTTGGGGAGAAAAGGGACTAACTGGAAAAGGGCCAAAGAGAAGCTGAGGGGACATGGAGCCGGACATGTGGACATTCCTCACCAGCTGCATTGTTACAGGGACAGACACGTCCCTATTTTAGCAAGGTATATGGCTCTCTGACCCTACACACACTCCCAGTCTCTCCTGTACCTAGTAATGTAACTTCATGTTACTGAAGAAAAAGCCCATTGCTCCAAAGTGGAGACAGTCAGTTCAGCCAGATAGGCATCTTGGGCCAGAGTGGGAGCACATATAGAGGTGGCAGACCCCAAGGCCAATCTGGCCCCGCTGCCCTTGTGGAGAGGAGCCCCATGCCTGCCCGGTGCCTGGCCAACAGTGGCCCTGGAGGAGGGAGAACAGCCACTCAGCAAACTACCCAGATCCTGCAAGGCGTGAGGACCTACTACATACTTCAGGTCTGGGTGCACTGAACATTGAGACCCCACCACAACTCTGCAACTGATCCTGGTGACCTGCTTATATGTGGGGTGGGGCAGGCAAGATTGAGAGGGACCTGGGAGGGGCTCAAGGCAGCAGTGCAGTGGCCAAAGAGAGTACTGGGGTCCTACTATTCCTCCCTGGACCAAGACCAGTCCACCAGTCCCACCTGTCACCCTTTAACTCATCCCCTTCAGGATGTCACCCTGAACCCTGGGCATGGCCAACATGACCTCCCTTCTGAAAACTCAGGCAGCATTGTAGCCCAGGAGGAGGGCACCAAGGCTGGGGGCAGAGAGATGCTCCATGGGTGCCAATAGAGAGCCAGGACAGGAAGAGTTGGGGTGGCTGTCAGGAGCAGCAGACGGATCAGTAAATGCAGATGAGGGAGGCCTGGCAGAGGTGCTGTCTACATGATCAACTGTTGGAGAAACATCCCTGGACCAAGACCCAAGACACCGCCCCTGTGCCAGGACTGCAAAACAGTGTGAGTGGGGCCCTGGGAACTGGGCTGGAGCCTGCACTCGGCACTGACTGGGACCACTTGCTCCCTCCCCAAAGCAATAAGATGTACACAGCCGCAGTCTAGACCTGTGCTGCAGATCTGCCCCAAGGTCTCTGTTTAGTGACCTATCCCCACCTCCTGGCAGCCCTGCACAGGAAAAAAAGACTTGCCCTACCCTCGGAGTTCATGGAAGTTGGACTTCCCCAGGTCTTTCAGCAAAATGTAACTGAATAAAAACTGGTTTTCCAAGTAGAGGTCTCGTTCGCACCTCAGACTGCAGGCACACTTGACTGATGACATTATCACATAGACCACTAGCACAGACCCTGCAGCAGTGGTCTAGGTGTCCAGGTAGGGCCCTTGGCTCTTCTACTTACATAAGTGATCCCTGTGAGCCTCTTGGCCAGGTGGTAGAAGATGCCGTGGATGTAAAACCAGGCTATGTGGAGGCGATGGAGGCAGGCGAGGCCCTGTCTAAGGATGAAGGTGGCCCGCTGAAGTGTCCTCCTCTGTTGCTCAGTCAGGGTAGCCATATGGCGACGAACCCATCGTCGTGTCCCTGACCGGCCACGTCCACTGGGCACCAGGCTACCCTGTGAGGGCCGCATGCTGTCACCTTCAGCCTGCATCTCCTGCTCCAGGGGCAGCAGGGCCTTGTCCAGCAGGTAGGGCAGGACTGCATGAAATGTGACCAGCATACAACGGCGGAGCCTGGAGGGCACATGCCGCTGGGATGGGTCCACCTGGATGATGCCCACATACTCCTCCCCAAGGGTCTGGTAGCCTAGAAGGACAAGGACAGGTGTGCACTGATGCAGGGACAGGCTCCTGTGGTCAGCCTGTCCTCAGCTTCTGTACCTGAGCATCAGTCCATAGTCCCACCTGTTACCCTTTAACTCATCCCCTTCAGGATGTCTCCCTGAACCCTGGGCATGGCCAACATGACCTCGCATTGCAAAACCCACCTTGTGACCTCAGGGACACAACCTGCCACTCAGGCTGCCCTCAGCTCCTGGGATCTGGCCTGTTATGATTGGAATCTGGAAAGTCCCCCAGACTTATATGTTGAAGGTTTGGTCCCCAATGTAGTGATAGGGCTTTTGGGAAGCAACTGAGGCACTAACCCACTGTTAAGTTTATAGTTGAGTGGGCTACTAGGAGCTGGGGCCTAGCTGGAGGAGGCAGGTCACTAAGGATATTCCTTGACCTATTCCTCTGTTCTCTGCTCTGCTTCCTGGTGGCTACAAGTCAAACAGCTCTGCTCTTTTACATGCTCTCCACCACGGTGCTCTGCCTGGCCAGAGGCCCAAAGCAACGGGGCCAAGTGAGCCAAAATAAACCTTTCCTCCTTCAAGTTAGACGTTTCTGCTTTTGTTGCAGCAATGGAAAGCTAACACACCTGTGCTCCCTGTTCCCCCAGGTTCAGAGCCTGTGCTTGTTCCCCTTTTCTCCCCTGCTGCCCCTCTACTCCCTGCCCATGCGGCAGGACTCAAGTCTTGTTGCTCCCTACCTCCCACACACTCCAGTGCAAACCCAGACCTGGCTCACTCCCAAATACCCGGCTTCCAGGTCACTTGCCTAGCAGATATCATCCCCAATTCACTGCTAACCAACAGGGAGCTTCCAGACCACCTGGGAAAGCCTGCTCCCCACTCCCTGTCTCCATGGAAAACCATGCTGGCCCTCCTATTCTTGAGGTCAAGCCTATAGTGCATCCTTGACATCTCTTCCCGTGTGTCTCCCTGCTTCTACCTCTGCCTGACCTCTCCCTTCCCATGTCCTTGCAACACCCCCACCTTTCAGAGGAAAAGCTAAAAGATCACAAAACTACTGTCTCTCAGGGGCACCCCCAGCCTTCTAAGGAGGCCTCCTTATCAGGGTCTTCTTGGCCCTGGGAAATGCTCTTTCTCAAAACCGCCCTTTCCCCTAAAGAGCTTATCACCTCCCACAATACTACACAATGCAGTTATGTGGTGTTTATCAGCAACCAGAGCATTCCAGGGTGGCAGGACACCCCTGGGTGGCCCCCTTCTTTACAACTGGCTTGACCTTCTCACTCCCCCATCAGAGATTACTGCTAGCACCCCTGGGACTCGGGTGACCACTGTGACCCACTTGTGTCACCAAGGTAGCCACTGAAAAAAACACCACCCTGGGCAAAGTCCTGGAAGAAGGTCTCCAGGGACAAAAATGATGGAGGGCAAGGCCCCTGGCTGGGGGTTGAGCCCTGGGCTCTGGGGAGTCCCGGGCAGCTCCTCCTCTGGTCTGTGGTCCCTTCCTTCCTGGGGCTGCATGTGGGCTAGTTTCAGGAGCTTCTCACTCTGCCTGGAAGCCCCCCATCCCATCCCATCCCCATCCTTTGACTTGGGTGGGTTGTGGATCCCTCAATGCCAAAGGCCTGCTGAGGGTGGTACCTGCAAGTGTGGTGAGGCCAAAGTAGGCTATGTCTGAGAGCAGCTCGATCTCTTTTCTCCACTCCAACCACTTCTTTGCACCTGAGAAGAGAAAAAACACATCATTCCTGGGGAAGTGGTGGGGTCCTTTAAGGGTGAGGGCCAACAAACTTCCCCAGGTGCTCAGTACCAGATCAAGTTCCTCCCCTTCCGGCAAGCTGAGAAAGCCCTCAACCACCCTTCTCTCTCCTGGCCTCCCTTGGCTCTTCCTCCTCCTGCCTGGGCCTGCGGCACAGACCCCTCCTGAGAAGAACCCGCTGCAGCTGTCTCCCGCTCCAGGGCCCGCCGCCCCAAGGCCCAGTCTAGGCAGTGCTGGGCACAGGCTGGAGGCCGCCTGCCCGGCGTCACGCCTGGCTCTCCAGCTGCCTGGCCGAGCGATCCCGGACTCCACTTGCCCGCCTGTCGCGAAAGTGACGCCCACAGGTCCTATCTGTGGGGACGTTTGAAGAGTAAACGGGTGACCTTTGGACAAGCACGGAGAACAGCGCCTGGCACAGAGTACGACAAAGTGTTTGACAAATAAACACGCCACGTCCAAACAGCCTATTCTGACCGTCACCCTCTCGCGGCCGCCGACCCGGCCTCCAGGGCGGGGCGCCCGCTGCGGCCCGGGGGGAGCAGCGCCCTGCCGCCAGGGCCTGGGGCCGAGCCGCGGTGGCGCCGGCCTCCCTCCCGTCGCGTCCTCCCGGGCGCTCACCCGCCAGGCTGTGCAGGGCGCCGCCCGCCGCGCTCCGCAGGCCGCCGCGGTAGTACTCGTCCTTCTGCGCTGCGCGGATCACCTCGGGGGGGGCGGCAACCCGCGCCATGGCCCTAACTTCGCGACCTCGCACCGCACGCTACCCCCGTGGGCGTGGCCAGATGGTGCACGACGCGGGCTCGTCGTGCGGCGCAGGCCTTGTGCGTCACTCGGACCAGGGCGTTGATTGTGGAAAACTTGACAGGGACTAGACCGAGCGCGCAGCGGGGCGGGGCCGGGGCGGGCGGGAGGCGGGGCCTGCGGAGAACTTGACAGGGACTAGACGGAGAGCGCAGAGTGGGGCGGGGCCGGGGCGGGCGGGGGGCGGGGGGGGGGCGGGGCCTGCGGAGAAGCGTGCTGGGGGCGAGACCAGAGGCGGGGTGAGAGCTCGAGGCGCGCGGGTCCTAGGATGGGCGGCAGACACCCACCACTGCCCGGAGCCTCTGGCTAACTGACGTGCGCTGGGGAGCCCTGGGACGACGGTGACCGTCAGCCGCCAGCGCCCACCCGGACTCCTGACTCTTCCCAGCCGCTCTGCTCTCGGGAAGGGACGGATGGACCTAGGCGCGTGCTAAGGTCGCACGCCAGCACGCCAGCGGGGTTGGCGCCGCCACAGGCCACAGAGGAACCTGGTGTCTGGGCGGCCTGCTGGGGGTCCGGGGGTCGGAGGGAGAGGAAGACGAGTCCGGGGAGAGGGGAAATGGCCCGGCAGAGAGGGGCGGGGCACAACGGGAGGGACGGGAGGGGCGGGAACAGGGGGACAGCGTGGCTCAGGAGAACACTAAGGGAGTCCACAAGTTTCTGGCCAACTCTCATGCAACAGAGTGAAATGCATTTCTTTGTTGGTCCAGGGCCGTTCTAGTCCGCAGGTCCACGGGGGGTCTTGTTTCCTTGATTCATGAGCTCAGTTTTAGGTTAGGTGTATGAGGTGTGGCCCGCTCTGGGCACCCTTCACCAACCGGTGCCTGCACAGGAATACATTTTCCTGATTCTCTTAGGGGCACGATGAGTTGAAAATCCCAGCCAGTCTCAAGGAGGGAATTCTGGTCCTCTAGGACCAGAAACAGTACCCAAGTGTCTGTTCCCAGGGAGATCGGGCTTAAGGGCACCCTGATTTTAAGTCTTAGCCCCAGATCTTGGCTCCACTATTGAATGGTGCATCTAATCCTCAGTTTCCTTATTTGTTTTGGTGCACTAGTGCATGCAATAGTGCACCCCAGGTCTCTGTCTCCTCACAAAGGACCGAGCCCAGGGCAGCCAGCAGATGGCGCTGCCAGTCCATCTGCTCTTTTTAAGTCTTGTAGAATTTTGGGGGTTTAGGGAATATTCCTCCAAAGAGTGAACCAACTCAAAATGTGGGCCTCAGTGCACAGGAAAAGAGTAGGAAGGTCCTAATGTGGGCTCTCAGAGGAAAGAGAGAGTGAGAAAACAGAATGGGCACCCTTGCCACATCCTAAATCAGTTTTCCATGCCGGTAGGCTGGCTTCAGGACTGGGAGTCCTGTCTGTTGCAGTGTTCTGGGTTCCAGGATTATGGAATGGGGTGGGGAGAAGAGCTTTTGCAGGGCAGAGGACATCTGCCATTGCTTCCTCCCTTAGGTACCCTATCAACTCTCTCTTGGCTCCTAGGACTGATGGCAGGGAGGTACAAAACCTTGTGGAATTCAGCAAAGGCAGCCATAGGCATGGGCAGAAGTGACTGAAGTCCAGTCCTGTCCTCGGGACTCTGACATCTGCTTCCTGGGCTTCAGCAGGGGATGACCTCAGCCTTCAAGCCAGGTGTCTTTCCCATCTTCCCACCAAGGTGAAATGCACTGATGACATTGCACAAGAGCATCCTGGGCTGGCCTCTGACTTCTCCAGCAGGGCCCTCCCAGGCCCTTTGTCATTCACACACAGTCCTGGGCCTCAGTTTTGGTCTGTGGAACAGGAACGTAGGGTTAGATATGAGGTACCCCCCAAAAGCTCATGTGTCAGACAGTAAAGAAAGTTTAGAGATGAAATGATTGGGTTATGACAGCCGTGACCTAATCAGTGCATTCATCCACCTGATGGATCAGCTGGGTGGTAACTGTAGGCAGCTAGGTGTGGCTGGAGGAGGCAGGTCACAGGAGCGTGCCTTTGGGAGTTATATTTCTTCCCTGGTGAGCAGAGCTCTCGCTGCTTCCTGGTTCCAGGTCCTGAGCTGCTTTCCTCCTCCACGCCCTTCTGCCCAGAGCATGGAGTCAGCTGTCTGTGGACTGAGACCTCTGAAACCATGATCCCCAAATAAACTTTTCCTCCTTTAATCGTTTTTGTCACATCTTTCAATTGTAGTGACAAATAAGCTGACTAACCCCGGAAGTAATTGTAATGATTGGCTAACACTTACTGAGAGCTTCCTAGGCTAGCAGCAGGCTCCTGACTCATCTGGATCCTGTGGAGGGGCAAGCTGAGTCTGTGGGTCTGGAGCAGCTCTGACACCTCAGTGATGTGGGGGCTGCAGGAGCATTGACCACCCCTAAAAGCAGCGTCCTCAGCTCTTGCCCCAGTCAGTGGTTCCACTTTCTCCAGTGGCACCAGGTTTCTTGTTGTCCCACCTAATGTCCTACCTCTGGGATTCTCTTTGTCCACTGGTTCTAACAGAGTTCAACCAGCCAGAAGGCCAGAGCCTCGGAGGTCAGGGAGTGGGGAGGGCCAGGGAGGGCAGCCCTGGTGCATGTGCTCTGCACCTGTTCCTCTTTTGTCCCCATCCCCAGCGCCAGCCAGTGGGAGAGTAGACAGGAGGTTTCAGAGTAGGGGTTGCTGTTTTGGTGGCTACTGTATCCCTCACTGCGGGGACAGGGCCTGGCATACAGAAAGGGAAGGAAGAGCAAGATGGGTCCATTTTCCCTGCACCCCCCGTAGCAACCCAGGTAGTTGCACCCTGGGGCACACCTGCCCTGGGATCAGAGGAGGTGCTCCTGGGCGATCCTTCACAGGCCCTGTGCTCTTGGAGGAAGCAGCAGGAATGCGTCCCATTCTCTGCAGGGACAGTGAGGGCAGGGCTGCTGCCTATGCCCTGCCTGGGTGATGGCTTCTTAGTTCTATGTACGGGGTCCAACCCGGGAGGCCTGTCCCACCAGCCCAGGAAGGCAGGGTGGCAGGTCTGGGGCTCTGGGGAAGCAGGCACCCAGGGCACAGAGCAGGGGTGCCACTGGTGTCCTCTGTGGGAGCCCCAACCGAGGTGGCAGTCGGTTCTAGATGTGTAGCCAAGTGTCATTCCCTTCTCTTCAGCTGTAAATGGGTGAAAGGACTGAGGCAGAGCCCTGCCCACCTGACCTGAGGTCCAGGACAGGACTGTTGGGGTGTAGCCCTGGGAAGGAGGCTCCTTAGCAACAGACACTGGCCCCACACCTGGAGATAGTGTCCTGCACCCAGCAGGGGAGCCCTGGGAGCATGTGCTGCCCCGTGTGCTGCAGGTCAGGAGCCCTGGAGGTACTTTTGGGGTGGGCACTGAGGAAAGGCAGGCATTCTGGGCCCTAGGAAGGGATGTGAGGCCCTAGCACTCAGGGAGACTCGGCCTGGCCAGCCTGGCCAGCCTGGTAGGCGGAGGCTCCCAGGAGTCTCCGTGAGAAGTCCTGGCGGCCCTCCAGCAGTGCCTCGTCAGGACCCTTGTTCACTGAAGTCAGGTCCAGGGGCTGAGTGAAGAGCCTTGGTCTGGGGGCTTGGGCTACCCTGAGACGTGACATGGTACAATTCTGGAGGCATAGGTGGCCAGCACATGTGCTTGGCCAGTGCCAGGGTATAAGAAGGGATAGAAAGACACAGATTTCTGGTGGAACTGTGAGTCTGACAGAGCAGAGCCAGCCTGGGGACTTGGCCTGGGGTGGGAAGCAGCCTGGGGGCTAAGGAGGGTGGGCTTGCAGGGGCTGTGCCTAGTCAGAGGCAGGCATGGTGAACCAGGTCTGTCCAGGCCCACACCTGTGCCCTCTCTCTTTACCCGCTGCTGGGGGTGGGAGCAGGACCTTGTTGAGGGGAAGAGGGACCCCACATGTGTGTAGCCATCGACCTGAGCTGAGCTGGTTGATAATGAAGGGCTGGACAAAGGGTCCAGAGATCTAGGAAGACTTCTGGAAGAGGAGCCAGTGCTTGGGATGAGGGTGAGCAGGGGTCCGTCCATGCAGGAGGCACCGGAGAAGCTTGCTGGCCAGGGGTGTTGGGCCGTGTGGGAGCTGAGGACACTCCAGGTCAGCTTTCCTGCCACCTGTGGACTGGAGGGAGGGAGGCTGGTGGCCCAGGACCTCATGGCGTGGGGCACCCAATGGGCACTAAGCAGGCCAGAGAAGCTGGACAGGAAGCAGAGTGGAGGAGCATCCGTTCTGGACATGGGGTTTGGACAGCACTGGAAAGCCTGCTCCTGTCCTGAGGGCTCTTCCTAGACAGGGCTGGGGCCAGTATGGCTGGCTTTTCTGCAGATGGGTGAAGGGTCCTCTGGAGCTCCTCTGCCTTCAGCTCCCAGATCCTCATGGTTTAGGGGTGGGGCCTAGAGCCACCCATCCTGAAGAGAAGGGGGACCAGCTGCCACCTTTGTATCGTGGGTGAACTCGGGCAGGTCCTTACCTTTCCTGGGCCTCACTCTCCTTGTCTGCCAGATGGGGACTAGGGGCCTCACCCCCCATCCCCCAGTTATGGGAGAGTCCCAGAGACTGCACACATGGACCCCCTCCTGGGCCAGCCAGGCTCCCCTGGCTCAGGGTTTACTGGGAAGTGGCTGGTGGGAGGTGAAGGTCTCAGACTGGAGAGTACGGGTCTGCTGGCCTGTGGTGGCCATGGTCCAGGCTGTGATGAGGAGAGGATGAGCCAGGGACATCTGCGTCCTGGTCCTCTCCGAGTGCAGAGAAGTGAGAGCAGGGAGTGAGTGGTCAGGCCCTATGCAGTCCTACTCCAGAAGAGAGCACAAGGAAGGTGGGGGAGGGGTCAAGCCCAGGACCTGAGCCCTCCCGTCCCAGCGTGCCCGCAGTGCCCAGCCATGAGCCCCGTGCAGACAGGCACTCGGGAATGAGCGAGGAGCTGCCGTTGGCAGTGTGGAGACGCACAAGTGGGCTGAGGTAGAGAGGACTGGCAGCTTCCAGCCACTCCTCCGCT